TGAGCATTATGCTAGCACCATCTGTTTTAATGGCCACGATGTCATCACATGTTAGGTTTTACTCCAACATTCGTTGCACGACTAATAAAACCAAGGTGTCTGCCTTCTGTGAGCTCTAGATTCTGATCATCCCTAGGTTATTTTTTTATTAAGAGAGGCTGGGCCAAGATAGCCCACGAGAGGATAGCATTGAGATGCTCTGCCTACCTCTGGGGTGTGGCAACCCTGGGGAAGGTTGCCGGTGAAATCAGAGTGAACGGTGGAGGATGGTGTAATAAGTGATATGAGTCAAAATGATACGCTTAAGTGCCAGCTGGGTTTGGAAAAGTAAAACGAGACGAAATAGCATATATAATAAGATAATACTTTAAGTCACCCCGGTCTGATCCAGCTCTTCCGGCACAATTAAGCGTTTGGTGTGGTTTGCAAAATTGACAATTGTGGTGATGTGTTGGTTGTCGAATATGTCATTGACAGAGAGGTAGTAGTCCTGGAAATATTGAACTCTAATTTGGGCAATAGCCGGACACTGTCCGGGGAAGTGTGAGACAGTTTCCTCCCGTCGCCGCACATAGGACAAGCACTGGTGTTTGATTTGCAAATGGTGTGAAGGTGTTTATTTAGGCCGCAGTGACCCGTGATGAGGTGAACTGCAGTTCTGTAATCTTGTCTGTTGTTGCTGAGTGTAGTGTTGAGGTTTTTGATGATTTTGGCATGCTTGTGGCCGAGTGTCAGTTTGGTGTGTCTGGGACCGTCAGTTAACCAAGTTTCCTGATTTAGTCTGTTGACTTTGTTGTCGATTTGACGCTTGATGTAGGATTGTGGAATTGGACACTTCAAAGTGGATTCACTGACTGTACCAAGCTTGGCCAGCTCATCTGCTTTTTCGTTCCCCCACAATCCGATGTGTGCTGCAATCCATCGTATCTCTAGCGTGTTGTTGGATCCGAGTGAATTAAGAGAGTCGCAACAATCTCTTGTAGTTCTACTCCGCGTTGAAAGTGCAGAGAGAGCTTGAATAGATGATAGACTGTCAGACCATATGATGATATGTGTGTTGGTATATGTAGATAGATATTTGCAAGCTTCAATGATGCCGGTGAGCTCTGTTTGGTAAACAGTGCAATAATCAGGGAGCTTGAATGATCTTTCTTCAAGGATCGTGTTATTATTGTCAGTTGTGATGATGTAGCCAGCCCCGCTTCCAGAGTCAGTGAGTGACCCGTCAGGTGATCGTTTCACTGGTAATATTGCCGATGGTGTTTTGAAGTGAGTTTCTATATTCCGTGTTATCAGCACCAGGAGTTGTGACGGTGAAGTGCCGTCCCAGCATCATGGTAGGTATTGTTAGGTCTCTCGTTGCTCTAGGTGGGATCTAATGAGATCTGCCATGAATTGTTTGTTGATAGTTGTATGATTTTTGATAGTTCCCTTCCTGAAGGCGATAGTTTCAAGAGTGAGGCTGCCGTATGCTTGTAGCCTGGCTGCGCCCTTTGCTGCTAAAGTAAAACAAAGTATTTTATTTATTAGCAGTGCAATCAATTCATATGATATAATTATAAGAATATAATAGTAAATATAGATATATATACCCATATATAATAGAATATAAATAGCTTCGCCTTGCAGGAACAGTATGATGTCGGGAGTGTCAGTGAGGTGATTCAGTGCGATAAAGGGTGTGCTTGGCATGGCACCAGACATCATTCTGAGTGCCAGTGCCTGTACACGTTTGAGTTTCTTCGCGTTCTAGTCCGTTTGCCCACATATACATCCAGAAAGTTTTATATTTCCTCCCAGATGCGTTTTTTTCTAAATTCTGTGGCCCGCTCGCTTCGCTTGCAAGTTTGGGGGGGGGGGGGGGCTGTCGGCGAGCGAAGCGAGTCGACATGTCCAATCCAGCTGCGAAGCGAGCAAGCTGTGGCAGGGGTCCAGGGGCGGAGCCCCTTGACGCGGGCTAGGGGGCGCAGCCCCCGGAAATTTTTTGCGAAATAGGGTGTTTTAGACGGCAATTGGCATTAAAGAAATTTGTAGGACAGCAATAAACTGGGATTGAAAAGAATCAAGTACTCACGTAAATTTGGTTACTTCACAACAGCAATCTGCATTCTCCAATCAGAATATTTCACTGTGTTCCAAAACTGACGGGATGTTCCTCTTTGATTTTTATACAATCGAAACATTTTCTTCAAAAATTTCCTCAATTAATTTGTCTTTATTCCAAAAAATTATTTCGAAATTTAGGAGTAACTTCTCAAAAATTTCCTCTTTTTCTCCCGTTTTTCCTCCCAAAAAAAAAAATTTCCTCCCAGGCTGCCTGGCAAGATGGCGTGTTTCTGGATGTGGGTCCGTTTGAGTAGCCCTGATCCATATACTACAGCAATAGAATAGGATTGGGCGGATGACAGCAGTGAACATCCATTTGCATGTTTTAGGGCTCATACCCCATGTGGGGCCGACAGCTCTTCGACATTGCATGAGGGATGCCGTGGCTTTTTTTGTGGTGTTGGTGATATGTTCGTTGAAGTTAAGTTTGCTGTCCAAGGTCACTCCTAGAAATTTAGCAGACTTAGACAGACCTATAATGTTGTTGCCAACTGTTATAGGTCTTAGAGTCCACTTACTATTCCAGGTAAACATGACTATCTGCGTTTTGAGGGCGCTAATAGATAGCTCCTTGGTTCTGCACCAGTTCTCTATCGTTTTAATAGTTTTGCATGTTCGGTCCCAGATGATGTCTAAATCATCCCCTTCCGCTAGAGACAACAGATCATCCACAAAGGCTTGCAGGTAACCCGGTATGTCTTTTGCAGTTAAGGTAAGGAGATCATCGACTACCAGGTTCCAGAGGAAAGGAGAGAGAATGCCTCCTTGGGGGCAACCCCTCCTGATCCGTACCCTTCTCGACTTATCCTTATGATTTAGTGTGATGAATCGATTGGTTACCATATTGATGATCCACTGTGCTGTAGCCAAGTCTACTTTCGTAGCCTTGACTCATTGACTGCTTCAGAGATAGCCTTGAACGAGACATTGTCGAAGGCGCCCTCTATATCAAGAAAGACGCCCAGAACATATCCCTTCTTGGCTATTCTGCGCTCAATGGTGTGGGTAACTTTATGAAGTGCCGCTTCTGTGGAGCAGCCCTTCTTAAAGCCGAATTGTCGTTTGTTTATGTCATTAGCTATGTTGAGGTCATGTTGCATATGCCATAAGATCACCTTCTCCTGTAACTTTAACATCACAGGCGAAAGAGTGATCGTTCGAAATGACTTAGCTTTGTTGTAGTCGGTTTAACCGGCTTAGGGAGGAAGATTCCAAGGGAATCCCTCCACAAAGTTGGGATGTGTTGTGTTTCATGGTTGATGAAGTCAGTGCCAGAAAAATGTACATAACAGTGAGATATCGTTTGTTTCCTCCTGTCCATTAGTCAGTGTTTCAGTGCAAACCGCTCCCCACCTTCCTTCCACCACATTCTCTTTTTTCTCTTCATTCCAAAACTCGTTAACTTTGGCTCTGATTGTAGTATGCGAAGTATGAGTAACATTCAACTTCTGCTGCATTGAGCTTCTGATAAAACTGCTTGTTGAAATCTAGTTGAATGAGAAACGATCCTTTGCAGCGAGTTCAGCCACAACTGAAACTGACCCGAAAAGTTACCGGGCAATTCTGAAAACTTCTGAAAAATTTGTAAGAATTTGAAGAAATATCTTTCTGTACTCACTATACTGATTAAGGGGTCGTTCACATATTACGTAATCAGTTGAGGGGGGGGGGGGGGTTTCCAAATTATTACGCCAGTGTAATTTTGTCACAATAGCTGTGTATAAAACTGATTACGAAGGGGGGAGGTAAAATTTGTTCAAAAAGTGATTATGTAATATGTGAACGACCCATAATGACGAACACACCCCTTAGGTTTTTAGTAAGGATAACATCATGATCGAAATAACGTCTTCAATAAAAGAAACATTCTCATATATAAAAGAAACTATACCAGAAGAAGTGTTCCTAAAACTTTGCACTAAGGTAGGTTCTAGCTACCCTGCTGAAGGAATCACACCAGAAGAAATATCCCGTCTCTCTACTAGTCTGGGAGACGAGGAACTTTGCAAGAGAGCTGTGGATACCATATACTACCTCTTCAGCAAGGTTTCCTACGCTACCACTAAACCCAGTGCAGTCAAGTCCTTCCTTGCTCTGTATATTGGTGAAGCACATGCAAACACTTTCTCAGAGAGCTGGGGTGCGCATGCTTTGGATATAGTTGCACGCCTGAAGTCATCCTCCTCTATTAACACAAAAGTGTGCAAGTTGGCGTGGGACAGTTCGGTTTCTATTTCAAGAGATGATTGTGCAAAGTTGAGAAACACTGAAGCTGTACTGCAGGTTGAGGTCGATGGCAAAACAAAGAATGTCTTGTTTGATTTTGAGAGTTTGACGGAGTTTTATTCTGAGCTGGAGAGGATACAATTAGCAATAGATAACTTGGCATAAGACAGAGTTTCGAATAATTGCTTATTAGCAATTATTAGCAGAAATACAAACATCACGATTATATGTTTGATAATCATAGTGATTGAGTGTTTTTATTTTTCGTTACCACTGATGCTCAGCAGCTAGTGGCGCCCCCCTCACAATTGCTAAATATCTTGAAATCTTAGTGCTGACCATCTGATTTATGATAATTTGTATTATTCTTATTTTAATATTTTGTAACAGTGATAAATTGATGTTTGTAACTGTATTGTTTGTGTTAAAAAATAACTACTGTTTTCCAGCTCGAATTCAAATTCTTCTTTACCATAATATCTGGATAAGTGATTGATATTCACTATAATTGTGCTGTATTGATTTTATTTATTTTTTATTTATTTACAGACTAAATGATTTATCTGTAACTAGAATATAAATCTTGATTTAATTAATAATCTCTACGTCATCATGTCCAATGTGCATAGTAGTGTTTTATCTGACTCTATAACAACCTGCCCAGCTATGTAAAAGCGGCTACACATTATCTTCATACCAATCTCAACTAAAAGCAATGGCGGTTATAATCAATGGAGAGGTAGTTTCAGACGACGACCCGCGTGCAGTGCGTTACAGATCACGCGGATCTGTACACCGCAATAATAACCCTGCCCCTGCTCCACCAATGAACAGAACAGCTTCCCTTGGATCAGAAGTTCAGGGTGATGTGAGTTTATATTTTAACCTCTAGCTTTTAACCTAATTAATTAGAACCTCTAGCTTTTAACCTAATTAATTAGAATTTAACTTGCGATAAGTATGATCTATTGTGCGCTATATTTTCAAAATAAAACTGGGCTTATCACGTCACAGAGAAGCAAAATAATGCCCGTATTTTAGGCTCGACCACAGAACAATCTAGGACTACCAGAACCCTTGTTCCAGTTTAATCAACGCTTGGAACTTGCTGGAGTACCAAAGATAAGGTATGTTAAAGAAACGCAAATTTTAGTTCTTGCTAGAAGGTTGAAAAACTCTATATAATAATAATGTAGCTTGCTATCTGCTCAGACGCGAAAAGCTGGCTTCAAAATTTCGATCTTTTAATGTAATTCTATTGTAGTTTCCAACCTCGAAATTAGCTTTTTGCGGCTGCGCTGTAGTATCCTATTGTTTGTACTACTACTAACACTACAGTACTACTAGTGTTAATACAGTAACACTACTACTACTACTAGTGTTACTACTGTAACACTACTACTACTAGTGTTACTACTGTAACACTACTACTACTAGTGTTACTACTGTAACAATACTACTACTAGTGTTACTACTGTAACACTACTACTACTAGTGTTACTACTGTTACACTACTACTACTAGTGTTACTACTGTAACACTACTACTACTAGTGTTACTACTGTTACACCACTACTACTAGTGTTACTACTGTACTAACACTACTACTACTAGTGTTACTACTGTTACACTACTACTACTAGTGTTACTACTGTAACACTACTACTACTAGTGTTACAACTGTAACACTACTACTACTAGTGTTACTACTGTAACACTACTACTACTAGTGTTACTACTGTAACACTACTACTACTAGTGTTACTACTGTTACACTACTACTACTAGTGTTACTACTGTTACACTACTACTACTAGTGTTACTACTGTAACACTACTACTACTAGTGTTACTACTGTTACACTACTACTACTAGTGTTACTACTGTAACACTACTACTACTAACTTGTTACTACTGTTACACTACTACTACTAGTGTTACTACTGTTACACTACTACTACTAGTGTTACTACTTTAACACCATTACTACTAGTGTTACTACTGTAACACTACTACTACTAGTGTTACTACTGTTACACTACTACTACTAGTGTTACTACTGTAACACTACTACTACTAGTGTTACTACTGTTACACTACTACTACTAGTGTTAATACTGTAACACTACTACTACTAGTGTTACTACTGTAACACTACTACTACTAGTGTTACTACTGTAACACTACTACTACTACTAGTGTTACTACTGTTACACTACTACTACTAGTGTTACTACTGTAACACTACTACTACTAGTGTTACTACTGTAACACCACTACTATTACTAGTGTTACTACTGTAACACTGCACTCCCTGGCAGGTTGTCTCCCCAGATGGTTATAGAACCTGTAATGTTAGTCCTCTGTTTGGTTGCTGGTCTAATATTTGGGTTACAGGGCGCTCTATTTGTGGCTCTTATGTTCGCTTTCATGATGTACAACAACAGATGATGGAAACAAGAGACCAACAATCTCCTGAATACTACAGATTACTACTATTATTGATAACTACTATTGTTGTTTGCTGATTAGTTGTAGCCCTGTTTTATTTTTAGAAGGGGTTTCTACTTACTTAACTTTAAATGTAAATGAAAGCCGGAAGGGTATAGCTTGAGCAAATTTATGAATTTGTTCCAGATAAATAATGTATGACGTACATTGTACATAGTTAATCAAATTCTAGATAATATAAATAACCCGAATAAGCCAAAGTTTGACTGTCTTGACTCTTGTGACGACTTACGTTAGTTATTAAAACTGTGACCAATGAGCTTGGCGTCATCACTGATACTTAATCAAATTATACGTAATCAGATAGTAAACGAATACGTAAATTCAAATAACTTAAGTATCACTCTAGCAGCACACACAGTGCAGGCCAAGCCTTTGCAATTTTATTTCAACTGTTACTATACAGTGCTAGTGACATTTTGCTTTCACTTGCCAATTTTATTGGATGTACTAGAATTGGTAAGATATTAGATAATAAATAATTTTCAGTTAAGGTTTAAGGCCTAAATCAACAATTGCCACCCACAATAAGGTCAAAATGCGATTCTGTATCGATTCCGAAAATTTCAAACAAAAATATTGAAAACTGATTGAGTTATTTCAATTTTGATACATACATGTTACATGTTACATGGCGAGATCTCCATCCAAAAGGATTAGTCTGCGTCGACTGCGTCATTACTTTGTATTATACAACTTCGGCGGGTAACATTTCTCCATCCCTTTCGGTCTGCAGCTAATCTTCTCATACAATCAATCGTGAGTCCATTACGATCCAATCTCTGCTCAGCATCCTCAATGAATACATCATTTAAGCTCTTCCTAGGCCTGCCTCTTGATCTCTTCCCATGCTTGGGTTTCCATTCAAGTAAATAGTTGGGCAACCGATCTTCAGGCATTCTACTGACATGTCCAAACCAACGCAGCCGTTTTGTTGTTATTATGTCAGCAAGGGCAGTTATCGATGCCCTTCTTAAAACATCCTCATTACTTACTCGATGGAACCACCTCACTCTCAGGATTCTTCTTAAGCAGTACTGATGGAAAGACTCCAATCTTCTTGTCTGCACTTGAGTCGTGTTCCATATCTCACATCCATAGGTCAGAATGGTAAGAACAGCTGCGATGTAGATTCGCACTTTGTTGTTAATGCTTATGTTCTTATTCTTCCAAATGTTGTTGAGTTGGTTAAAAGCTCCGGTTGCTTTTCCAATCCTGACACTTATTTCTTTATCAATCTTGCCATCTGATGTAATTTTGGCACCCAAATAAGTGAATTGAGTGACCTGCTTTGCAGAGTTTCCATCGACAGTTATATCTATGGTCCTATTCTCTGGGAGTGGGTGCTGCGATGTATCTTTCCCAATGACCATGATCTCTGTTTTCTTTGCGTTCATTTTTAAACCCCCAAGTCCACAGTATTTCGCAATATTGTCCGTAGTTTCTTGCAGTCCTTCAACAGTGTCATCCATTCCTGCGATGTCATCAGCATAGTCAAGATCAATGACACATTTTTCCGGTTGTCTGGAACTTTGTCTGTACTGAAGTGTAAAACCACGGGATATATTCTTAAACTTCTCTGCAAGTTCTAATCCCCAGTTAAGTACAAGATTAAAAATAGGGGGCCCTTGCACATCACCTTGTCCAGTCCCCGAATCGACATCAAACCATCTTGTCAATTCTCCATTGACACGAACTGCACTTTCAGTTGCTCTAAAGAACGCTTTGAAAACATTGATATATTTTGTCGGAAGACCATAATGTTCAAAAGCTTTCCAAATAAAGTCACGATTGATTGAATCAAAAGCAGCTTTAAAATCAATAAAGTTTATGTACAAAGGGACGTTGAATTCTATACAATTGTGTATTATACAATGAAGTGAGTACAGCTGATCTATACAAGAACGGTTTCTCCTGAAACCACACTGATTCTCTCTGAGTAATAAAAGTGAATTTTGATAAGTTCACTTTTATTTTGCGAATATTGTGGACCGATATATAATATGGGCAATTTTGTTAATTCTTGGCGGTCTATTCGCTTTAGTATCCACATTTCAACAGATATTACGCTATAGATCACAGAGATTATGTAGTTTAGGCTAACCTTTCATATAAAGTTGGTCTCATTCGAAAATATTTATATAATTTGACAAATTTAAATGATTCAAAAGCTAACAAATTTGGTGCTTATGTCCAAATATGGGCATACCTCTTTTTTGGCTCATACCTTAGCCATTTTTGTTTAATCTGGATTTTGGGCTATTGAGTTGATTTGGCATGATTGGGCATGTGTGCACCACAGGCACCAGTGGCAGTTTGGGGTCCTCCTCAAACGTTTGGTGAGCCCTAGTTTGATGGTCAACTGGCTATTTCGAAAACAAGTTTCGCAAGCAAATTAGGGTGAACCCCGTTAATAAGCAATAAATCAGGGACCGGTTGTCGGTTGATAATCGAGCAATTAAACAATTTCGATGGCAATTCTTAATCCGAAAACTTAGCCCACATCCAGAAAGTTTGATAATTCCTTTGAACATCCTCCCACCCTGTATTATTTACCGTAGTTATAAATTTATGCTTTATATGGATAAATTTAAAAGATAAATCGATCTAAGGTAAACTAAATAACCACCAACCAACATGTACAAGTAAAATCTTAAACACCGTTTTTCTTTTCAAATGCTAATTTTATGCTAATTTTGAAGATTATATTAAAGTTGAATCTGTTAAAATGGTATACAGAAAATTGAATTTGTTGTCTATTGTTGATCATAATAAAAATAAAATAGCACACCTGTGATTTTTACTGATTATTGAACTACATACATACATACATGTGTTACACTACTACTACTACTAGTGCCACATGAAGAGGTCTCCAGTCTCCTGCATCACACACATCCCTTGTACGCCGTACGGTGTAACACTAACAGGTTCCTCCATTCCACTCGGTTCAGAGCTAACTGTCGTACTGCATCTCGGCTGATGTTGTCAACACCTGTAAAGCTAGCAGCATCCTCGAGTACACATGCCATCCAGCCTATGTGGATCTTGGTAAGTGTTTTTATACTTCTACTGTTCCATATCTTCCAGAGCTGGTGGAACGCGCCATTGGCACGCTGGATCCTGATGTAAAGATCTCGGTCGATAGTACCATTCCCACTGATGTAGTAATGTTGGCACCCAGATATACAAAGTTACTGGCCTGTTCAACAGGTTCCCCCTCCACTGTCAACTCAATAGTGTCTCCTTCGGTTTAGGGTCGCTGGGACGCACATTTACTGACAACCATACACTGTGTCTTTTTGGTGTTGACCTTCAACCCAGCATAAGTGCTGTAGTGAGCGATAAGGTCGGTGGATTCTTGCAACCCGCCTTCAATATTATCCATCACTGCCATATCATCGGCATAGTCAGTGTCCATAACAACTTTTTCCTCTGCACCCTTTAATTCCTTTTGCAAGATAGCCTGTGACTAATTGCCTTGTTAACCTCAGCTAATAAGGTTCCGAATTTTAGACAGAAATTGAATATGGGAGGACCCTGGATGTATCCCTGGCCAGTGTCCGAGTTGACAGAGAACCAATCAGACATTTCACCATTAACCCTAACAGCACTCATGGTTCCGTTGAAAAATGCCTGGAAGATTCTGACATACTTCTCAGGAAGCCCATAGTGTCTCATGCTCGACCATATATATAAACTCTCTTCTGATGGAATCAAATGCAGCCTTAAAATCAATGAAGTTAACATAATATAATGGGATGTTAAACTCAATACAGTTATGAATAATGGTGCGGATTGAATAAATTTGATCAATACAAGAGCGGTTCCGTCTGAACCACACTGATTCTCCCTAAGAAGACACTCCAATCTCTTTAGAATAATCATTTGGAGAATCTTAGATGACGTCGCCCTCAGGGTTATTCCCTATTATTACTGCAGTATGAAGTGTATCCCTTCTTTCCAATAACCACTTCTTTCCAATAACCACTACCTATTAACCCTTTCAGCCAGTCATCAGGTATCACCTCTTCTTCCCATACCTTCTGAAACAATAGCTCAAGCTGACCAACAAGAGCGTATCCGCCATACTTTAGTTGCTCGTTAGTTATCTCATCAACCATTGCAGTCTTGTAGTTCTTAAGTTTCTTCAGAGCATATCTAATCATGTCTCTAGTAGGTGGTCCATCCTAACAGGAAAGGTAATCAAAGCTCGGTTATGAAGGCACACTATCGAGGTCATCTAGGTTAGCAACCGATAATGGGGGGTTAAGAAGCTCCGTAAAGTGCTCCTTCCACCGTTCCTTCTGGATCTGTGTAATAATCTTTATCTTTATCTTTATCTCTAACAGTCATGGTCTTCAATTCCTTTTGCAAGATAGCCCGTGACTAATCGCCTTGTTAACCTCAGCTAATAAGGTTCCGAAGTTTAGACAGAAATTGAATATGGGAGGACCCTGGATGTATCCCTGGCCAGTGCCCGAGTTGACAGAGAACCAATCAGACATTTCACCATTAACCCTAACAGCACTCATGGTTCCGTTGAAAAATGCCTGGAAGATTCTGACATACTTCTCAGGAAGCCCATAGTGTCTCATGCTCGACCATATTTAAACTCTCTTCTGATGGAATCAAATGTAGCCTTAAAATCAATGAACTTAACATATAATGGAATGTTAAACTCAATACAGTTATGAATAATGGTGCGGATTGAATAAATTTGATCAATGCAAGAGCGGTTCCGTTTGAACCCACGCTGATTCTCCCTAAGAAGACACTCTCTTTAGAATAATCATTTGGAGAATCTTAGATGACGTCGCCCTGCAGTATGAAGTGTCTCCCTTCTTTCCAATAACCACTAAAATGGGGGGTTAAGAAGCTCCGAAAAGAGCTCCTTCTACCGTTCCTTCTGGATCTGTGGATCCGTAATCATCTTTATCTCTAACAGTCATGGTCTGTTTTTTCTTCCCTTTCCCAGAGATCTTCTTGATCTTATCCCAGACTTCCCGTTGTTGACCATTCTTCGACGCCTCCTCTAGATCAGTTGCTACTCTAATGGGCCAGTTGTTGTGTCGATTTTAGAGCTTTTTTAAACTAGTTTGTTAAGCTTAGAATAGTAAGAGGCAGGGTCCCTCCGTTTAAACCTTTCCCGTTGAACCAGCAGGTCCTTGGTGTTTTGAGAAAGGTGCCGGTCCTTGACCTTCCGGGATCGTTTTCCAAGCACTTACATCGAGACATCATGATCAGTAACTGTCTGCTTGAAACAAGCACTTACATCGAGACATCATGATCAGTAACTGTCTGCTTGAAACAAGCACTTACATCGAGACATCATGATCAGTAACTGTCTGCTTGCACTTACATCGAGACATCATGATCAGTAACTGTCTGCTTGACATCATGATCAGTAACTGTCTGCTTGACATCATGATCAGTAACTGTCTGCTTGAAATTATCCCACATATCCTCATGGACCACGATTGTCTGGCTAATGAGTCATGGTTGACCAATTTAACAAGTTATTTGATTCACAGTTAAACCGTTGGGGGACCGCCATGTACCCTTGTGGATGTCTCTATGCTGGAACAGAGTTCCACCAATAACAAGTTGATTAGCTGCACAGAAATCTATGCGTCTAGTCCCATTGTCGCTCCATGAACTATGGAGAGATTCCCCACCAATGACTCCCTCGAATCCATATCTGTTTGAGGTAACGTTTCCGTTGAAGTCATTCAGTAACAGTTTTAGATCATGTAGGGGCAGTTCACCAAACATGTTACATGTCTGACAAAACGTTATGAAAAGGTCTTTCTCACTGTCATCTGCACCGTCAATCGGAGCATAGGCTACAACTACAGAGATGTTGAGGTGTTTGCTGTGTAACCTTGCTGTCAGGACCCGCTCAGATCTAGGTGTGTACGAGATAAGGGAGTTCCTTACTTTTTTGGAAAGAAATATGCCAACCCCTTGTCTCTTAATACCATCTGCCCTACCAGAGTGAATTAGTAAACTACCATTATCTAGCAGGGTAGTTCCAGATCCTGGCATATGGGTTTCTGTAACCCCTAAAAGGTCAAGACTGTATTCATCAATGTTCTGACTGAGTTGATAAGGTTGTGAAGATGAGCTGACTAGGGATAAAATATTCCAAAATATAAAGAATTCTTGCTGTAGTGCATAGGGTTAGATTTGCTGTAGTCGGTGTCAACGTGAGTGATCTGTTGACTAATAACTCTGTTGTTATAACGAGAATCCCCACTTCTCATCAGGCCACTGCACTGGATCCCTAGGGCTTTGCCCAGTTGCCGTCATCCTGGCCAAACATAGCGTCCTTGAGTTTTATGTGATGATTCTTTAGCGATTTGGTACCGATAGGTGGAGGAGTTGCTGGCCCCTCGCACCCGGTAAATGGCGGGTTGCATAGAGCAACATATCGTATCAGTATTATATAATATATAATATACACATACTGATTATTAATAACTAAATAAAACTTTTCCTCACTTACCGTTCATCAGAGTTTGTTCTATACTAATTATGCAAGATATTACTTGTTATGCAAGATATTAATTGTGTGTAATTTCCGAACGGCTTAATCAAGAAAACGGTAAGAATATAATATAGAATTGCTATAGAACTGCTTTCTTTAAAACCACGACCGATTTGAAAACCTTAATCATTTGGCTTCGTCAGAGTTTTGTCGGCACTATACCGAAAAAACCAGTCACATAACTCTTACCGTTGTCTTAATTAAACTGCTCAGAAATTACCTACAGACAGACAGACACAGTGACACACATTTTGGGATTATTAGTATTGATTCCGAAGAATATTCAATATGAAAATTCTAGAATAATGAACATTCTAGAATGTAGTATGAGCAGGTGGTGTGTAACGCATTATAACAGCATTATCCCCCTCTCTAAGTTATAATAACATTACACCCATCTCTAAGTTAGACAGCTCACCAAATATCCCTCCTCTTCAGTAAGTTTGTTCTGTCTAATTCTATTTGATACCTAGTACAGGGTATAGAACATTCTGGACAATATCCCGAACAATCTCATTAGTGGCCCCAAGTCACTAGTCATTGAAAACACCTGAGTTACTTTAGAAGTGACCTCAGTAATCTTGTATACTGTTTTGTTGGATGTTCTAGAACGTTCCAGATCTAGTTTCCTTGCTTGGTTGTACCACCAATTGTGTTAGTACTCAAAAGTGTTTTGTAATATTATAGGATAATCGTTGTGACGGTGGAAGGTTCTCCATCCTATGAGAATACCACTTACTGAGCTGTCATTTCTAGATTGCGATCAGTTGCTTACGTTCTTTTTGGTAGTGTGCCAACATTTTGAAGCTTATCTTCGCAAACTATGCGATCTTATAGGCCGGGTTACACTAGTTTCTACATATTTTCAAAATCACGCACAGAATACAGAAAATAGGGCAGATGGTGTGGTTTTGCTTTGTGGATACCGCCCCCAACATTGCCTCTAGTGTTGAACTGTTGGTTCCTTACTGTATCATTGTAGGTAATAGGATTATTCATATTTTTCAAAAGTGGATAATGGCTCAATATTTATTAATTATAATCAACTATCAGTATAATTATAATCTCTTTTTCCTCTCCATTGAATGGCCAGTAATTATACGAATATTTCTGTTATCTTGATATCAGGTTACATTCTTGTTGGGGGTTAAATTGAATGAGTTTGTTGTACAGCTTTACAGCAAGGAAGTCCCAGGTTGCATTTTTACTCTCTGTGTGTAGTTTGCACTTTCCTTTACTTGATAGTTCGGTTTTAAAGTGTAGTGAGTGTTTAAAGGTTATTACATGTTATTACATGTTATTACATATTATTACATGTTATTACATGTTATTACATGTTATTACATGTTATTACATGTTATTACATGTTATTACATGTTATTACATGTTATTACATGTTATTACATGTTATTACATGTTATTACATGTTATTACATGTTATTACATGTTATTACATGTTATTACATGTTATTACATGTTATTACATGTTATTTGGTGTGGTCAGAGGAACTGTCTTTACACTTAAATGTTTGGTTAAGTGAAATAGGGCTGGTGAAATAGGGCTGGTACAGTCTAATATAGGGTGTAGATAGGCCAGTGTAACATTTCTTATCAGCTTAAACCTGTTTATCAGTGTGTGAGTTTACATTAAACTAGCTGTTAGACATTACTTTAAACACGGTTAAATTTAAATATGGTATAATATTACGGGTGCTTTAATAATGACTGTTCATTTCGTCGTGTGTCACCAGATTATAGTTCGTTCCTGACCGCTTTGTTTGGAGCGTCTAGTGCAGTGTATATAGAGGTGTACTATAATATTGGGTACCTCCCCAGTCCCCACCACTATCTATTGTTCTGTAGATGTGAGTGGTTGGGGGGGGGGGGGGGGGGGTACAATATGGAACCGTATTATTATTATTATTACTATTACCGTATTATCCTCACGGGACTGCTGTGACATATTATATTGGTGGAGCCTATAATATTCAGTATTATACTCAGTCAGTATAAGTTATATATTATAATCTCTAATCTGTGCTTGTTTGTATGTTGTGACTTACCTAATGTCTCACCAAGTGACATGAGGTACAGGCTACTTTACCTGAATTATAGTGTCCTAAATCTCTGCGACACAAGTTTCGGTTGTGTCAGATTTAAAACATTGCCCACTGAACAGCTGAACCATCTCTCTATTAAAATTTAAATAACTATAATTATTTGAAATATAATTATTTGTATAAGCAGGGTGTACCACAGAAAGTGTGACTTTTTTGAGAAATGGTACAAAATATTATGAAGGAGCAGTTGCTAAAAACACTTCATCACATTGTGTCACTAGGTGTCGAATTTATGCATTCTAAGTTTCAATTCCCTATCAATTTTGATTGCTCAACTTTGCAAACCACACTAAACGCTTAATTGTGCCAGAGGAGTTGGACCAGACAGGTATATAGAGATATCTAATAATGAGTTCACGTTATAACTATTATACGAGGACACTTATTAGATCAAATGAAAAATGTATATTATTAGTAATTATTCAGTCAATAAAGTTTTTAGTAACAGTAAAACTATTTTAGCAAGGTTTCTCCCTTCATCTGAACAACATGGTCGTCAAAATCGGAATCAATGGGTAAGTTCTACATTAAAATAAATAATTTTTATAAATGTGACATGGATTATAAACACGTGTTATAATATACGTGTTATAATATACGTGTTATATTATAAACACGTGTTATATTATAAACATAAATTATAAACAGTTCGATTCTGTTCAATGCTGCTCGGGAGTTCGGGCAAAGAAAACGCATACACATTTCAGGGAAACGTCTTGTCACAGATTTCAAGCTATTTGGGATGGGCGGCCTGAGTGGGGTGGATGTGTTATTTAGATTTTCATATCTTATAAGTGTCTATAAAAGTATAAGTACGAGCAGTTTATTGAGACTTCTGACTTCTACCGTCGTAGATTCTACAATGATAAATATTGTAACGTACGTGCGGCGCGCAAAATCCACTACAAAATTCAGGGAAACGTCTTCTGATCGATTGTGTAACGCGCATGGACACAATTCTGGGAGAACATTGCGCGCGAATAATATAACATGTTATATATATATTATATAATTTTGATTCAGTGCAGTGTTGAATGTTGATGCAGTATATGACTCACAGTATGTCAAAATTAACTCATCATTTCACTATTGCATTATCATCGCAGATTTTAGCGATTATCACTATTTAATGGCGATTATCGTGCATTTAGCGATAATCGCCAATGTTAGGCGATAATTGTGCGCAATAATCGCATGTTAGGCGATAAACACGCGATAATCGCATATTGGGCGATAAACACGCGATAATTGCATTATCGCTTTTATGCAAGAATAAAATCCAGATATTTTCCACTGTGAACATGACGGACGGACATTGAAAGCGCGCGTTTTAAGTACGTAGCATCAGCAGATGAATCCATAAATTTTAATTAACACAGTGAAACTGAAACCGCGGTTGAATGTTGACCATATCTGCCCGGCGTGCATATGCTGCACGCCGGACAAGTTGAGTTTAGTATTATTTGTACCATCATTCTCTTGTTTACTTACAAGCGGTAAATAACCGTGAGGGAATTAGAATTGTTTGGACCAGTCAGCTGATCGGAGAAATTTAAGAGGACTGTTACAGATCTTGATACTGTTGCTCAACCATGTTTTATACACTCTATAGGTAGAGTGTGCCAGTATTAGAGTTCACCAGGTAGAGTGTGCCAGTATTAGAGTTCACCAGGTAGAGTGACGAGTGTGCCAGTATTAGAGTTCACCAGGTAGAGTGTGCCAGTATTAGAGTTCACCAGGTAGAGTGTGCCAGTATTAGAGTTCACCAGGTAGAGTGTGCCAGTATTAGAGTACACCAGGTAGAGTGTGCCAGTATTAGAGTTCACCAGGTAGAGTGTGCCAGTATTAGAGTACACCAGGTAGAGTGTGCCAGTATTAGAGTTCACCAGGTAGAGTGTGCCAGTATTAGAGTTCACCAGGTAGAGTGTGCCAGTATTAGAGTTCACCAGGTAGAGTGTGCCAGTATTAGAGTACACCAGGTAGAGTGTGCCAGTATTAGAGTTCACCAGGTAGAGTGTGCCAGTATTAGAGTTCACCAGGTAGAGTGTGCCAGTATTAGAGTGGGGGGAATGCAACGTCAATTAATGTCAGTATTCCATGAAAACCCCAAACTGACATTGACATTAATTGACATTAATTGACATTAATTGACATTAATTGACATTAATTGACATTAATTGACATTAATTTGTCTTGAAATTTGAGATTATCATTATTCGATAAATATTCAAGATATTCACGTCTATGTAAGTTAGACCGGTTCAAAAAAACAAAATGTCCTTGAATAATTATGAGTATGTTCTTATCTGTTGATCCTTAGGTTTAAAGACCACCAAAAAAATTTCAGCTTCCAACTCTTCCATCTTCGGTCCCCACCGGCCACGCCCATATTTTATTGGTTTCTTATACAGGTAAAATATCTAGAATCGGCTTTTTTAGTATGAAGGAGTAATGTTAGCTGTTTAAGATTCGTTATTCAAATATAAATGTCATGAAGGCATTTCGTTTAATGTGGGTTTTAAGTTCTGATGATGTTGAGAACCACGCCCTTGGATGGCCACGCCCATTTAAGAAAATTAAATTTCGGAAAACCGTATTATTTTAGTTTTATTGTTTAATGATCTGAATTTCCTTCACATTTCACATTTCTATATGTGATAGTAGTGAATAAATTGATGATATAAACGTTCTAAAGTGCTAAAAATATGGTAGAACTACATAATCTCTGGTCGAAAAATATCGTGTCAATGTCAGTATTCCAAAATTTTGCAAAACTGACATTGACATTAATTGACATTAATTGACATTAATTGACATTAATTGACATTAATTGACGTTGCATTCCCCCCATTAGAGTTCACCAGGTAGAGTGTGCCAGTATAAGAGTTCACCAGGTAGAGTGTGCCAGTATTAGAGTTCACCAGGTAGAGTGTGCCAGTATTAGAGTACACCAGGTAGAGTGTGCCAGTATTAGAGTTCACCAGGTAGAGTGTGCCAGTATTAACTCTCTCGTTCTCAGATTTGGACGTATTGGAAGGCTGGTAGCCCGAGTTGCTTTCCTTAACCACGAAGATGTAGAGCTGGTTGCAGTGAACGACCCTTTCATTGATCTTTCTTACATGGTATGTTAACTAACCATAGCGTAAAATGTAAATATGGCAGCAAAAAAATACGATATATCGTGTCAAATGTAAATATAGCGATAGGTAGCTGTATTACTGAAGTTTCCCAGGCGTACATGTTCCGTTACGACTCCACCCACGGACAATTTCCTGGAGAAGTGAGCACGGACGGAGACAAGCTGTGTATCAACGGGAAGAAAGTAAACGTGTACTCTTGCATGAATCCTGCTGAAATTCCCTGGGGTAAACATGAGGTGGACTTTGTGGTAGAGAGTACTGGTGTTTTTACTACTTTGGGTAAAGCTGAGGCTCACATCACAGGTACGCCGGTACGGGCAATTGGGGAATAACATATCACAGGAACGGGCAATTGGGGAATAACATATCATAGGTACGGGCAATTAGGGAATAACATATCACAGGAACGGGCAATTAGGGAATAACATATCACAGGTACGGGCAATTAGGAAATAACATATCACAGGAACGGGCAATTAGGGAATAACATATCACAGGTACGGGCAATTAGGGAATAACATATCATAGGTACGGGCAATTAGGGAATAACATATCACAGGTACGGGCAATTGGGGAATAACATATCACAGGAACGGGCAATTAGGGAATAACATATCATAGGTACGGGCAATTAGGGAATAACATATCACAGGAACGGGCAATTAGGGAAAAACATATCACAGATACGGGCAATTAGGGAATAACATATCACAGGTACGGGCAATTAGGGAATAACATATCACAGGTACGGGCAATTAGGGAATAACATATCATAGGTACGGGCAATTAGGGAATAACATATCACAGGTACAGGCAATTAAGGAATAACATATCACAGGTACGGGCAATTAGGGAATAACATATCACAGGTACGGGCAATTAGGGAATAACATAGAAGTACAGTGAGGATGTGAAAATATTGTACACTTAAATAGTAGACATCAGTAGTATATAGTTTGTTTTAAGAGATTAAGGGGCCATACACTAGGCCCCCCCCCCCCCCCCCCCCCCATACACTAGATAAACCCTCACTGTAACTCCAGGAGGTGCTAAGAATGTTCTGATCTCTGCACCCTCTGCTGATGCGCCTATGTTCGTAATGGGAGTTAACCAGGAAAAATACACTTCTGATATGAAGATTATTTCTAACGCATCTTGTACCACCAACTGTCTCGCCCCTCTTGCTAAAGTCATCAACGATCATTTCGGTTAGTTTTCAGTGGTCACCTGCCAATGGCTTGTCAATGAATTGTTAATGACCTGTTAATGAATTGTTAATGAATTGTTAATGACCTGTTAATGAATTGTTAATGAATTGTTAATGACCTGTTAATGAATTGTTAATGAATTGTTAATGAATTGTTAATGAATTGTTAATGAATTGTTAATGACCTGTTAATGAATTGTTAATGAATTGTTATTGAATTGTTAATGAATTGTTAATGACCTGTTAATGAATTGTTAATGAATTGTTAATGACCTGTTAATGAATTGTTAATGAATTGTTAATGACCTGTTAATGAATTGTTAATGAATTGTTAATGAATTGTTAATGAATTGTTAATGAATTGTTAATGAATTGTTAATGAATTGTTAATGAATTGTTAATGAATTGTTATTGAATTGTTAATGAATTGTTAATGAATTGTTAATGACCTGTTAATGAATTGTTAATGACCTGTTAATGAATTGTTAATGAATTGTTATTGAATTGTTAATGAATTGTTAATGACTTGTTAATGACTTGTTAATGAATAGCTAACTACAGGTATTGTTGAGGGACTTATGACTACAGTTCACGCTACTACTGCCACCCAGAAAACTGTTGATGGGCCCTCTCAGAAGGTACAGTGTCATTCTGATTTTATTGATTATTTGGTCATTCGAGCGAATAGGCGCCCGATAGGCCATGGTATTCGCTCGAATGACCGATTATTTTTCACTTACGATTGAATTAAAATAAAACGTAAAAATTGGAAAAAAATAATTCAAAACAAAGATCTGCAAGCGACCCCTGGCCCTAACCCTTAGTCTTAGATACATTTTTTTGGGAAACATTTTCAAAGTATATATAACACATCAATACAATACAATATGTATATAATCAAAAAGCTGTCGTTCACTTAAGCTCTTGTACCTCTCAGACATAATAAAATTAATCTAAGACAAAGGAAATTTATTTTGGTTTGAATCCAGATGGCAAGAATCTTGGTACATAAGTTTCTTAAAGATAAAACATAGTTCCATTTGCTCCTTCATAAGTATTTCTCTTCAGAAATGGAGAGATGGACGAGGTGCTGGACAGAACATTATCCCTGCTTCAACTGGTGCTGCAAAGGCTGTTGGCAAGGTATGTTAAGGACTGTTTTTACGATTTTTTATAACCTTGAAATTAGATTAATAAATAAAATGTATTGCGAATTTTGTAGAACGAAATGTCTAAGACAAAAATGGACCGTTCTCTAACTTTTTTTCTTTTAAAATAGTTTCTCCTTAGTCAGCAGCTCGTTGAAAATTGTATTTTTGCCCTGCTTTAGTCTCTCTATCCCCAACTGTTCAATGATTGTACACGAACTTCTCTCACTTGCCGTTAAATCGTCTTCTACTCCGTGATAGTACAATATTTCTGATGCAGTACTTTTACTGGCACCGGCACTGGTGTCAGTATGTGTATAGTTTTGTTGGGTTGCTGAACCAACTGAATCTTCTTTGCGGTAGACTATGTCCAGTACATACCTGAGATTTGTCGCTGAATCATTACCATTGCTATGTAGTGTGTATAGTGTATACTACATTACCATTGCTATGTAGTGTGTATAGTGTATACTACTACTTTACACTGTATAGCGGATTTTCTCAGTACTATTTATTTTTAACCTTGTTATCTGAACTGTACAGAATGATATGTAGTGTGTTTATATAATATATTTAGTATATAGTATATAGTATATTATAGTATATTATATGATATTACCTTGTGCGAGGCAGATGAAATAGTCGTGTTATCACGTGTAGTTCCTTTATACTGCATTCCTTCTGTATCTCCAGTATCTTTAACCTACCTGCAGTATCAGCTGTAATGATACCTACCTGCAGTATCAGCTGTAATGATACCTACCTGCAGTATCAGCTGTAATGATACCTACCTGCAGTATCAGCTGTAATGATACCTACCTGCAGTATCAGCTGTAATGATACCTACCTGCAGTATCAGCTGTAATGATACCTACCTGCAGTATCAGCTGTAATGATACCTACCTGCAGTATCAGTTGTAATGATACCTACCTGCAGTATCAGCTGTAATGATACCTACCTGCAGTATCAGCTGTAATGATACCTACCTGCAGTATCAGCTGTAATGATACCTACCTGCAGTATCAGCTGTAATGATACCTACCTGCAGTATCAGCTGTAATGATACCTACCTGCAGTATCAGCTGTAATGATACCTACCTGCAGTATCAGCTGTAATGATACCTACCTGCAGTATCAGTTGTAATGATACCTACCTGCAGTATCAGCTGTAATGATACCTACCTGCAGTATCAGCTGTAATGATACCTACCTGCAGTATCAGCTGTAATGATACCTACCTGCAGTATCAGCTGTAATGATACCTACCTGCAGTATCAGCTGTAATGATACCTACCTGCAGTATCAGCTGTAATGATACCTACCTGCAGTATCAGCTGTAATGATACCTACCTGCAGTATCAGCTGTAATGATACCTACCTGCAGTATCAGCTGTAATGATACCTACTGCAGTATCAGCTGTAATGATACCTACCTGCAGTATCAGCTGTAATGATACCTACTGCAGTATCAGCTGTAATGATACCTACCTGCAGTATCAGCTGTAATGATACCTACCTGCAGTATCAGCTGTAATGATACCTACCTGCAGTATCAGCTGTAATGATACCTACCTGCAGTATCAGCTGTAATGATACCTACCTGCAGTATCAGCTGTAATGATACCTACCTGCAGTATCAGCTGTAATGATACCTACCTGCAGTATCAGCTGTAATGATACCTACCTGCAGTATCAGCTGTAATGATACCTACCTGCAGTATCAGCTGTAATGATACCTACCTGCAGTATCAGCTGTAATGATACCTACCTGCAGTATCAGCTGTAATGATACCTACCTGCAGTATCAGCTGTAATGATACCTACCTGCAGTATCAGCTGTAATGATACCTACCTGCAGTATCAGCTGTAATGATACCTACCTGCAGTATCAGCTGTAATGATACCTACCTGCAGTATCAGCTGTAATGATACCTACCTGCAGTATCAGCTGTAATGATACCTACCTGCAGTATCAGCTGTAATGATACCTACCTGCAGTATCAGCTGTAATGATACCTACCTGCAGTATCAGCTGTAATGATACCTACCTGCAGTATCAGCTGTAATGATACCTACCTGCAGTATCAGCTGTAATGATACCTACCTGCAGTATCAGCTGTAATGATACCTACCTGCAGTATCAGCTGTAATGATACCTACCTGCAGTATCAGCTGTAATGATACCTACCTGCAGTATCAGCTGTAATGATACCTACCTGCAGTATCAGCTGTAATGATACCTACCTGCAGTATCAGCTGTAATGATACCTACCTGCAGTATCAGCTGTAATGATACCTACCTGCAGTATCAGCTGTAATGATACCTACCTGCAGTATCAGCTGTAATGATACCTACCTGCAGTATCAGCTGTAATGATACCTACCTGCAGTATCAGCTGTAATGATACCTACCTGCAGTATCAGCTGTAATGATACCTACCTGCAGTATCAGCTGTAATGATACCTACCTGCAGTATCAGCTGTAATGATACCTACCTGCAGTATCAGCTGTAATGATACCTACCTGCAGTATCAGCTGTAATGATATTAAAAGTGGGAAGATTTTATCTAACTGTGTAAAGAAATAGCACCTACCGTGACTATTTCTGCTTTGGGCAGCTAAACGGAAATTAATTCAATAACATACATTTTGCTGTCATTTTAACGGTGGTATCAGCCGTGCTCTCAAGCACAATATCCTGTCCTAGCACTCCCTCTTCTACTAACAGTCTCCTTATCTTCCTAGCTTCTGTCTCCTCCGATCCTGCACGTGCATCTTGATCAACTTCAAATGCGCGGCTCTTTTAGAGCTGTTCATAAGCAGCGCAAATTTTTTCCTCTAACGCCGCGCACGTTAATAACCGGTTGATATGACAACTTACTAGCATGTTTATAACCAGTTGCTATGACAACGACTTCATCACGTCTCTTTAACATCGAGTACAGTTCTTTAGCTCTCGTTACTGTGGATTGTAGGGGAATGTAAGAACTAGATACTGTAAAATATTATTGGAATTTCAAAAACTGTATTAGTAAAGTCATATCTCCAGAGATATGCAGGCATGGCTCCACAGTAAGATTTTGAGCTGGAGCCATTACTGCAATCTGCATATCTCTTAGGCAAAAGCTAACCTGTGTTACGTAGAGTTATGTTGGTTGATGAAGGAGTAAAGCACCCTATCACCAGTATAACACACATTTCTACCTTCATCTGTGCTGTAATGTCACTCTCTACTTCATTCAGATCTCTTTCTAATCTCTGTGCTGTAATGTCACTCTCTACTTCATTCAGATCTCTTTCTAATCTCTGTGCTCTAATGTCACTCTCTACTTCATTCAGATCTCTTTCTAATCTCTGTGCTGTAATGTCACTCTCTACTTCATTCAGATCTCTTTCTAATCTCTGTGCTGTAATGTCACTCTCTACTTCATTCAGATCTCTTTCTAATCTCTGTGCTGTAATGTCACTCTCTACTTCATTCAGATCTCTTTCTAATCTCTGTGCTGTAATGTCACTCTCTACTTCATTCAGATCTCTTTCTAATCTCTGTGCTGTAATGTCACTCTCTACTTCATTCAGATCTCTTTCTAATCTCTGTGCTGTAATGTCACTCTCTACTTCATTCAGATCTCTTTCTAATCTCTGTGGTGTAATGTCACTCTCTACTTCATTCAGATCTCTTTCTAATCTCTGTGCTGTAATGTCACTCTCTACTTCATTCAGAGCTCTTTCTAATCTCTGTGCTGTAATGTCACTCTCTACTTCATTCAGATCTCTTTCTAATCTCTCACGGTTATCTTTTAGTTTCGCTAAACTATGTTGTAAAACATTCTCCTGTCTTTCTATCCACGAGATGAAACTAACCAACCTTTCTCTCTTCTCCTTCAACGTCCTCTCGTTACCATGGCAACTGGTTATGTTGTACTTGTAACCATGGCAACTGTTGTTGATTGTGTTCTTGCTACTGTCTCTAATTGTCCCCATATCTACGCCTGTATTTCTCTCAGCATTAAGCATTTTCTTGTCAACTCCAAATTGAGACAGAGCATTGTTGAGTAAACCAGGCTAAAGTAATCCAAATATAAAAGTATCTGAAGTGACTGCTTAGTGCTTAATTAAGCCATGTACAAAGAACAAAACATTATCAAGTAACAAGACAATATATTAGTATAATAATTTGTATCATGCACAATGATAGTATTTGTTATGATGTCCAGTTACCATTAATTAATTGTTTATCGATACGTTTGGCAACGTGCCCAAGTTAGCCGCACTGTACTAAAATAACAACGTTATTCATCACACATTTATTAGTAAAAGTAGTGTATTTAACTAGTAGTATATTTAAAAGTAGTGTATTTAACTGTCTTTAGCCGAGCCGAACACTACAGTGCCGGTTACTGCAATATAAAACTGACTATTGATGTCTTGTTACCATGGTTACTGTTCCTAGGTTATTCCGGAACTGAACGGTAAGCTGACCGGAATGGCGTTCAGAGTTCCCACCCCTAACGTGTCAGTAGTTGATCTGACTGTCAGGATTCAGAAGTCAGCTTCTTATGATGAGATCGCTGAAACTATCAAAACTGCCAGCGAGTCTCCTGAACTAGGTATTTCTTACTATTTATATTCATCCTGAACTAGTTTTACTGGTAGTTACTAGTATTATTAGTAGTTACTAGTAGTTACTAGTAAGTAGTAGTTACTAGCATTATTAGTAGTTACCAGAAGTAATACTGCTTCGTCACAGGACGTTACCTTGGATACACTGATGAGCAAGTTGTCAGTTGTGACTTCCTGGGGGACACAAGAAGCAGCATCTTCGACAAGAACGCTGGTATTGGTCTGAATGATAACTTTGTCAAGCTGGTGTCTTGGTGAGTACAAGTAGAGTCTACTACTACAGTACAAGTAGAGTCTACTACTACAGTACAAGTAGAGTCTACTACTACAGTACAAGTAGAGTCTACTGCTACAGTACAAGTAGAGTCTACTGCTACAGTACACGTAGAGTCTACTACTACAGTACAAGTAGAGTCTACTACTACAGTACAAGTAGAGTCTACTACTACAGTACAAGTAGAGTCTACTACTACAGTACAAGTAGAGTCTACTGCTACAGTACAAGTAGAGTCTACTGCTACAGTACAAGTAGAGTCTACTGCTACAGTACAAGTAGAGTCTACTGCTACAGTACAAGTAGAGTCTACTGCTACAGTACAAGTAGAGTCTACTGCTACAGTACAAGTAGAGTCTACTGCTACAGTACAAGTAGAGTCTACTGCTACAGTACAAGTAGAGTCTACTACTACAGTACAAGTAGAGTCTACTACTACAGTACAAGTAGAGTCTACTGCTACAGTACAAGTAGAGTCTACTACTACAGTACAAGTAGAGTCTACTACTACAGTACAAGTAGAGTCTACTACTACAGTACAAGTAGAGTCTACTGCTACAGTACAAGTAGAGTCTACTGCTACAGTACAAGTAGAGTCTACTGCTACAGTACAAGTAGAGTCTACTGCTACAGTACAAGTAGAGTCTACTGCTACAGTACAAGTAGAGTCTACTACTACAGTACAAGTAGAGTCTACTACTACAGTACAAGTAGAGTCTACTACTACAGTACAAGTAGAGTCTACTGCTACAGTACAAGTAGAGTCTACTGCTACAGTACAAGTAGAGTCTACTACTACAGTACAAGTAGAGTCTACTACTACAGTACAAGTAGAGTCTACTACTACAGTACAAGTAGAGTCTACTACTACAGGCAAAGGGGTGGTCGGGTCAACATGTTCGGTCATAATCATTAACTAATAACTTCAACTTAATGATATTCCTTTTTAGCTCAAGTATTATAGTAAGATTGCATTTCTCATTACAAATTAGCAACAATTATCGTTTATCCGCCCTTAGTTATACTTATATCACTCGAATTATTAGTAATACTTATTTAACCCCGATTGTCTACACTACAGGTACGACAACGAGTACGGCTACAGTAACAGAGTCGTAGACCTCATTAAATACGCCATGTCCAAACAGTAAACACTGTGACGTAACTGTGACGTCACACCACGTGTTGTGTCCAAACAGTAAACAGTAAACACTGTGACGTCACACCACGTGCTGTGTCCAAACAGTAAACACTGTGACGTAACTGTGACGTCGCACCACGTGTTGTGACGTAACTGTGACGTCACAACACGTGCTGGTATTGTGTGTTGTTATGATTAAATAAACTCTATATTTATTTCAATCCTTAGGATATATTTATAATGTTTTGCTTGTTACTCTATTTATGTAGTTGTGGTCAAACTGGATTTTGCCAGCTATCTTGACCTAATTTGAACAAGTTCCATGTTTAGCAGTTTGATTAAATTATTTCACCAATATTAGGAGGTGCACTAGTGTAGTAGTACCAATATCATTGTAAACACCTCCGGAATATGTGTTATATTGTTTTACAGTTTTTAATACTGTTTAAAATTAATTGTTTTTCAATTCATACAGTAGCTTTATTTTCAGCCTGAATTGTACATGACAGTTTTGATGATTCGAAATGAAAAAAAAAAAACAATGTAAAATCAGTTAAATCCGAAAATGTAAAATTTACTTCAAAAGGTAATTACATTCCAAATCTTGCATGCAGCACTCCTTCGTAGCAAACAAAGCTTCATTAAACATGCCATCATCTGATACAATGAAATTAACAATCAATATAATATTGCTATACCCAGTAATAAGCTGATAAGAGCTGATAACTAAAAATATTGTTGTGATCACTGACCGGCTACTAAGGAGTCGATAATTAGCTTACTAGCAAATATTAACAATATTCATAATATTCATATAGCCTATATTAACAATACTCATAATATAGCCTATTATTATATACTTGAGTAGCAGAGTATTATTCGTAACAACAATAGTTACCCACTAACGTGGCAGGCTTACAAACCTGGGGGGGGGGTCAACCTCATTTTACCTCATGAGGCCAGCCAAAAAAGGCAAAATTGGGATGAGGTAAAATGAGGTAAAATGAGGTAAATAAATCTAGTTTTCTAAGCCTTTTTTTAGAGACAAAAAAGGTTTATTCGAAGTCATTATACTATAATTCGAGGCTGTGCATGGTCTCCCATGATATTTAATGGTTTATTAGGGGTGATGTGGTCCCTGGGAAGGGGCATTCCCAGTTTAACCTACTTACTCTCCAAACTTGGGGTAAATAAAACTTCGCATTATAATTATTATTTATGAAAAGAAAATTGAACATTTCAATTTCCACGATCCATTAGGAAATTGTTAATAGCACTTGCTAAGTTTTGTAAAGGAATTAGCAATAACTTTAGTGTTTTTGGCAGTTGCCAATTTATGGGGATATTTCCACATTGCATGACATGGACCATTTAAATAATATCTTAGTTTGATATTGCGATTATCGAGTCACTCTGAAACAAATTGTGTCTAACTAGACCAAATTATGTAAACAACAGTTGTGCATGGAACTGGATTGGATATCTACATGAATTTAGTCGAAATTGCATAGTGAAAGTTTATTTCATAATAAATTACTCATATAAACTCATACTTCATACAATTCTAAGTTCTTATGTACATGTTCTATGTTCATGATTCGCTGTAGAATAAAGGGCGGTTCACAAAACCACTTTTCGTTCAAATAATTAGATATCACCTCTAATTAGTTGCTCTATAGGATCAGGAACAACCAAACAATTTTTTGTGTCTACGGTTTCGTATAATACTGACTTGGGCCACGCCCATATTTTTCACCAATTTTTAACAGGTAAAATGATCTAAATCGTCAATTTAGTCACGAAGGAGTTTGGAAGGAGTTCTAAATGTGTGCTCCTATAATATAAACAGTAGGAAATGGTTAACTTTAGTCGAGGTTTCAGGTCTCTACAATCTCGGGAAGTTCCTGCAGGAATTTGCGCATTGCGCTGAAGCGCAAGATTTACTGCGCCAAAAGCGAAGGTCGTAGAGACATGAGACCTTGACTAAAGTTAACTATTTCATACCATTGCTATCAGAGTATGCCACTTTCAGAGTCCTGAACACACTCCTACAGCTCTTAATCGTCAATTATATGAATTTTACCTGTTAAAATATATCATCTTTAACTGATATCAATTTAGTTTAAAACACTGTTAGTTTAAAAAAGAACATATTACTTCACACCAAACTAACGCACAATATGATAATATAAGGTTTTCCTTGGATTCCGAATTCAACTTTGATTATATCCGGGCACTGATTATCATTTCTCGATTGTTCTCCATTTTCCAATGCAGTCAGCAAGTTCCAATTTAGGTAGACTAGGTTTTCGAATCTTCATATTATGTTCAGAAGCAGGCCAGAAGGGGTTGTTACCAGAGGAATATCTTCTTGAAACAAGGAATTAATGAGGTCTTCATTTATTTCTTCATAACTCGTCACTGACAGTCTGGACAGGATGAGCATTGACGAGATCCACTGATTACTTCATAGCTCGTCATTGATAGGATCAGTATTAAATGAGGTCGAATGATTACTTCATAGCTCGTCACTAACTGGATCAGCATAACATGACTAACAACTAACGAGGTCCAGTGATCTCTTGCTGATACGTCAAAACAAGATCAGTAAATAGCTATAAATATCGAAAAAAATTAGCTTAGAAATTACAGAGTACAAATGACTTCTTCACAACTAACTCTTTGGCCTCATCTTTTTAAATCACTCATTCCCTCTGAAACAAGATAATGCTTAGGACTAGGAGGAACTTAGTTAACTTCTTGTATAATTCGGTAAGAGGAAAATTCCTTAGTAAGCTAACATTCTTTTGTATGATGTTACCACTTATCATATCTGTTATCCAGCATAATCCCACAACTAGACCCTCTTAATCTCTTATTCTGGAGTCTTGACAATGACAGCAGCAATGTACACTATTTTGATGGTTCAGGTCTCCAAGAAAACTTTCCTCTTTATATTCTCATATTGTGTGTTAGTTTGGTGTGAAGTATTATTTTCTTTTTAAAAACTAACAGTGTTAAACTAAATTGATATCAGTAAAAGATGATATATTTTAACATGTAAAATTCATACAATTGACGATTAAGAGATATGGGAGTGTGTTTAGGACTCTGAAAGTGGCATACTCTTATAGAAATGGTATGAAATGGTTAACTTTAGTCAAGGTCTCATGTCTCTACGACCTTCGCTTTTGGCGCTGTGAATCTTGCGCTTCAAGCGCAATGAGCAAATTCCTGCAGGAACTTTCCGACATTGTAGAGACCTGAGACCTCGACTAAAGTTAACCATTTCCTACTGTTTATATTAGAGGAGTACACATTTAGAACTCCTTCCATACTCCTTCGTGACTAAATTGACGATTTAGAGAATTTTACCTGTTAAAAATTTTTGCCGAGATTTACCTCATTTTACCTCATGAGGCCAGCCAAAAAAGGCAAAATTGGGATGAGGTAAAATGAGGTAAAATGAGGTTGACCCCCCCCCCACAAACCTTAATCATGACTATGGACTAGTCAGTTTCAAATTTAAACTGAGTCATCTTTGTATTGAACTCTATGTCAACCGCGTCAACAACTATAAATAAAATGTGTACTAATCTTTTTAAAACTATTCTTACTTTAAGAATGTATGCATAGGAATAGCTTAATAGTAAGACCAGTCTCCGCTCAGCCTCAACTTGAAAACAAATTTGTTTGCTACTGCTTACTGCGGTATTTTACATAGAAACTCGCACGGATCCGATAGTAATACTAATATGTACCTTACTAGTGACAGTGTGACCCGGGACTTCACTATCGCAGTTGAATTGCAAAAGTATTATAAACGGTGCAAAAGTTAAAACAGTGCAAAAGCATGAACTCTCAGTCGAAACCGGCCGCATTAGAGTAAATTTAATTCTGAGCGCCCAACTCTTATCCTCACTCTACACTCGACTGTCACGTGACTTTTTCAACCCGTTCTCTAGCTGGCCCTGAACGACTATTCGAAACCCTATTACCCTCTAATCAGATTAGTAATCTGATCCCAACCCTAACACAATCCTTGACAAAAGCATGTGCTGAAACCCTAACGAGAAATTAGACTAACTACGGTCATAATCATAATCATATCACGATCAAGACAGTTTTTCGGTGATTCGAAATCAGTGTCCGAAAATACATCGATTCAACTTGACTTATAGAACAATCTCGAAGATCGACTGTAGAGTGATTAAGCACGCTCGGGCTCAACTGCCTCATTACCTAATTATATAATTATACCAAAGCTGTAATTATTATTAGGGGAGCTAATGGGGAGAGTGTAAGAAAAAGTGAGACACTTTAGTATCATATTTGGGGTACAAAACCATCAATTAAACCACTTAGCACCGGCCGATTAAAAAAATTAATTATTGGCTTCGTCAGAGTTTTGTTGAAACTATACAGAAAAAACCAATCCTATAACTCTAACCGTTTTTTGTTTGGAAATTATAGCGTGGGTGGGTGCGTGCGCGTATAATTCATACGCGCACGCACCCACCCACACACATTCTGAGATTATTAGTATGTGCTGTGGATCCCTATAGCGTTCATATTGATGTCCACCCCCAAATCAAAAATCTAAATCCACTACAAGTACAAACTTGTTTGTTATTATTAAGGATTATGATAGATATGAATATTATAAAATGTCACTACACTTTTGTATTTTTGGTGTATGGTGTAGTAAAAAGTGCAGTAAAAAAGGTACACTAAATTACACTTTAACACTAAATTACACTCAAATTATTTTCTCAAATCTTTTCCCATCAGTCTTCACATAGTACAATTTCCAAAGGACAAAACAGGGGTGAAACATACCTTTGTTGAGAAAAAAATTTCACTTTTTTACACTTTTTAAGGCTTTTTAGGGTATTTTACACTACACTTTTGCCTTTTTTATGTATGGTGTAAAAATGTGTAGAAAACTCCCCTCCCCTGCATCCTAGACAAAATCTCAGAGAAGCACTCATTTTCAGGTAAACGCATTTAACCGCATTTGTACCATGGCCGGCTCTCACCGGCTTGTCAACAAATGTTAAAGTCGGATGCGCCCCAAGGAATACATTGTTCCTGATTCTAGTCAAAGCAACATTCATTACCCGAAGTTAAAGTACGTCTCCTCTCTGTACTACATTATATCATCAATATGTCACAATAATGCACAACACTGTTCTCGCTATAAAATATGTGAAAAGGTTTTTTAGTCACTGTCATCATTTCTATAATAGGTGGGCAGAAATAGAACCAGCTAAGTGTCTACAATTATCCAAAAGTACAACAACTTTCAGTTACCTCTACAAGTTTCAGTTACCTCTACAAGTTTCAGTTACCTCTACAAGTTTTAGTCACCTCTACAAGTTTCAGTTACCTCTACAAGTTTCAGTTACCTCTACAAGTTTCAGTTACCTCTACAAGTTTCAGTTACCTCTACAAGTTTCAGTTACCTCTACAAGTTTCAGTTACCTCTACAAGTTTCAGTTACCTCTACAAGTTTCAGTTACCTCAACAAGTTTCACTGTTTCAGTTACCTCTACAAGTTTCAGTTACCTCTACAGGTTTCAGTTACCTCTACAAGTTTCAGTTACCTCTACAAGTTTCAGTTACTTCAACAAGTTTCAGTCACCTCTACAAGTTTCAGTCACCTCTACAAGTTTCAGTCACCTCTACAAGTTTCAGTTACCTCTACAAGTTTCAGTCACCTCTACAAGTTTCAGTCACCTCTACAAGTTTCAGTTACCTCTACAAGTTTCAGTTACCTCTACAAGTTTCAGTTACCTCTACAAGTTTCAGTTACCTCTACAAGTTTCAGTTACCTCTACAAGTTTCAGTTACCTCTACAAGTTCCAGTTACCTCTACAAGTTTTAGTTACCTCATGAACAAGTTTCAGTCACCTCTACAAGTTTCAGTTACCTCTACAAGTTTCAGTTACCTCTACAAGTTTCAGTTACCTCTACAAGTTTCAGTCACCTCTACAAGTTTCAGTCACCTCTACAAGTTTCAGTTACTGTTTTTTAGTCACTGTCATCATTTCTATAATAGGTGGGCAGAAATAGAACCAGCTAAGTGTCTACAATTATCCAAAAGTACAACAACTTTCAGTTCCCTCTACAAGTTCCAGTTATCTCTACAAGTTTTAGTTACCTCAACAAGTTTCAGTCACCTCTATAAGTTTCAGTCACCTCTACAAGTTTCAGTTACCTCTACAAGTTTCAGTTACCTCTACAAGTTTCAGTTACCTCTACAAGTTTCAGTTACCTCTACAAGTTTCAGTTACCTCTACAAGTTTCAGTTACCTCTACAAGTTTCAGTTACCTCTACAAGTTTCAGTTACCTCTACAGGTTTCAGTTACTTCAACAAGTTTCAGTTACCTCTACAGGTTTCAGTTACCTCTACAAGTTTCAGTTACCTCTACAGGTTTCAGTTGCTCCTTTAAACCTACAACTCACTATCTCAGTCTCATGCAAAAAGCTCCATCACAGTATTTTCGTGCGCGGCCCGTTTAGGGGTGAGTAGAGTCTACTTTAGGGGTGAGTAGAGTCTACAAGTGTTCAGAGGCTAGGGTTGAAGTTGCAGGAGGCGGAAGAAGTGTCCTCAGTCTTGAGAGCGAATGTGTTGTTCTCAGTACTGGTAATGTAGGGCGGTGCACAGAACCCGAGCTGGGGCTCTTGTCTGCTCTGAAATGAACACACTTTATATTGCCTATCGGTTAACTATGTAACGATGAGTAAAATTGCTCCAAGCGTAGAAATATCGACCGAGCATTGCAGAAAACTGGTTGAAAACGTATATATATGGATTCGTTTACATATTACGTTATCACTGAGAGGGGGGGGGGGTTCTCAATGATTACGCTAGTTTAATTTTAACACAATTAAGCTATGTGTAAAACAGATTACGGAGGAGGGAGGGTTAAAAATTGGCCAAAAAATGATTACGTTATAAATGAACATATTATATCAAACTACAAGTGGCTTACCAACGAAATGTTTGAAAGTGGAGTCTGTCTATTGGCTAGCATTTGCAAACTATATGATATCTGATCATGATCTTCTAACTGCCTGAAAGGTGAAGGGCTTAAAATTCAGTTTCATATCTTACATCACACTTTACGTAAATTTACACACTTCTCACTTCTTATTACACAGCCCTCACGTGACGTCACACATTCCCTCACGTGACGTCACACACTCCCTCACGTGACGTCACATACTCCCTCACGTGACGTCACACACTCCCTCACGTGACGTCACACACTCCCTCACGTGACCGCGTGACGTCACACACTCCCTCACGTGACGTCACACACTCCCTCACGTGACGTCACACACTCCCTAACGTGACGTCACACACTCCCTCACGTGACGTCACACACTCCTTAACGTGACGTCACACACTCCCAATACCTTGAGTACTCAGGAGGAGACATGCTAAAAGGAGGAGGGTTTACAGGAGGGAGAGGTTGTAGGGACTGAACGCGAGGAGTGGTGTTGTTGTACGCGTACAGGTTCAGGGGGGACACTTTGTTCTGCCAGGGGGCTGACAGGTAGTTGTAACTCTTCCAGTTCCCTGATAGCCCCTGTAGGTGAATACTATATAGTAATCATAGTTATATCATCAATTATATAGTCACAATCATGCAATTAATTATAAAATTAATCATGTAAGTGTAATTAATTATAGAATTTATCATTTAATTAACTATAAAATTAATCATTTGATTAATTATAAAATTAATTATGTAATTAATTATGAAAATAATTATTTGATTAATTATGAAAATAATTATTTGATTAATTATGTAAATAATTATGATTACTCCAGTAGCAGGGAGGGGTTGAGTGTGCACTTCGATGTATAGAGTCTTTTGCTACTGAATCGGGTTAAATAGGTCATTGGTAACTCAAATCACCGAGGGGCGCATTTTGTATCGCTAGTCCCAGTCCTACAGGGCGAAATTTCTAAATTGCCCTCAGGCGAAAATTTGGGATTTTTGTATCTCGGCTTCTAAAAGACTTAGAGATTTGAATATTGGCTTAAAATAACCGCAATAGCCTTATTTATATACAAGTTATGAAGCAATCTAAGGTCTCAAGTGCCTAGTTTTAAAGATATTCACGAAAAACCGTTTTTTGGCTCATCGCAGCCTGAAATACCGGATTATTTTTTATCTCGAGCTAGAAAGGTCGTAGAAACTTCTCCTATATTGAAAAATATGCGCAATGAGCACATTTATATAAGACTTATGAATCATTATATGCTCTAAAATGCTTATTTGTAGAGATATTAGCAAAAATCGGTAATTTTGGTTACACCAATACAAATTTGGTAATTCATTTTGTCTTTTTGTTGCAAATATTCACGTTGCAATTTTCAAGATGCAGTTTGTTGCTATCGATAGGACTTTATATGCTATTGCATGGTTTTGATACAATCCTTCAGCACCTGACATAGGCAATAGGGGTCACAAACCCTGAAATGTCAGGAACTGGGCAGTGGCCGAGATAAATATTTGATAATTACTTGGACTCTTGACTCACATACATCTTTTCAACGGTTAGTTAGACATCTTAAACCAGTATTGAACGTTGAGTAAAACTTCTGATCCATTTGTAGCTCAAGTGATGTGCCCCAAAACCTCACGCCTGAGTGACAGTGGGCCTTATCGATCATGAGCCGCAAATCACAATGACTTTGGGCCTCAGAGACAAGGGCATTCGTACTCTTGGCTTAAATTGGCTCTTCGTTAGTATCATCGATCAGGTTTCTAACTTCTATATCATCTGCCTGTCCAGTGTCCATCCGTCTCTTTGAGATTCATTATTACTTCAAGTTCAGCCATTTCGCTTCTGTTCAACTGTAGGCGTAATGAGGGACTTCAGTCCAGCAATAAAGTCAATTAGCAATATCTGGTTTCGCTACTTTTAAGGTAATTGTGTTCAGCAAGCAAGTTTGTAAGTTTTCAGTCGTACTGCCCCAAAGTATTGGCCCCCAGAGCACCAGTAATGCTGGAGCACTGGTTAATGCACATGGTAATTATGCTGATTTTTTGCTTAACATAGCTCATTTTTAAGTTCCTTTTTCAGCAGTCTTCCCTATCATACTGGCAATAAAAACAGATTCACCTCCTTTATCTCTAAATATAATCTTGAACCTGAGCTCTACAGGTTATCGAATGTCCATCTTAGCATTTACAATTTACATTGAGTCATAAATTAGAATTATGTGGGGCACAGAGTCACTGAAGGACAGGTATCGTTGGGCCCGAAGTTCTTCAAGTTTTGGGACCCAAAGTTGCAGGTGCGAGAGGTCCTGGGGCTGACAATAATTGGGGCACGAGGTTGGTGGACATTCGATAACCTGTATAGCCCAGGTTCAAAATTATATTTAGAGATAAAGGAGGTGAATCTGTTTTTTGCCAGTATGATAGGGAAGACTGCTGAAAAAGGAACTTAAAAATGAGCAATGATAAGCAAAAAATCAGTATAATTACCATGTGCATTACCAGTGCTCCAGCATTACTGGTGCCCTGGGGGCCAATACTTTGGGGCAGTACGACTGAAAACTTATAAACTTGCTTGCTGAACACAATTACCTTAAAAGTAGCAAAACCAGATATTGCTAAATCTAGAGATATTGACTTTATTGCTGGACTCAAGTCCCTCATTACGCCTACAGTTGAACAGAAGCGAAATGGCTGAACTTGAAGTAATAATGAATCCCAAAGAGACGGATGGACACTGGACAGGCAGATGATATAGAAGTTAGAAACCTGATCGATGATACTAACGAAGAGCCAATTTAAGCCAAGAGTACGAATGCCCTTGTCTCTGAGGCCCAAAGTCATTGTGATTTGCGGCTCATGATCGATAAGGCCCACTGTCACTCAGGCGTGAGGTTTTGGGGCACATCACTTGAGCTACAAATGGATCAGAAGTTTTACTCAACGTTCAATACTGGTTTAAGATGTCTAACTAACCGTTGAAAAGATGTATGTGAGTCAAGAGTCCAAGTAATTATCAAATATTTATCTCGGCCACTGCCCAGTTCCTGACATTTCAGGGTTTGTGACCCCTATTGCCTATGTCAGGTGCTGAAGGATTGTATCAAAACCATGCAATAGCATATAAAGTCCTATCGATAGCAACAAACTGCATCTTGAAAATTGCAACGTGAATATTTGCAACAAAAAGACAAAATGAATTACCAAATTTGTATTGGTGTAACCAAAATTACCGATTTTTGCTAATATCTCTACAAATAAGCATTTTAGAGCATATAATGATTCATAAGTCTTATATAAATGTGCTCATTGCGCATATTTTTCAATATAGGAGAAGTTTCTACGACCTTTCTAGCTCGAGATAAAAAATAATCCGGTATTTCAGGCTGCGATGAGCCAAAAAACGGTTTTTCGTGAATATCTTTAAAACTAGGCACTTGAGACCTTAGATTGCTTCATAACTTGTATATAAATAAGGCTATTGCGGTTATTTTAAGCCAATATTCAAATCTCTAAGTCTTTTAGAAGCCGAGATACAAAAATCCCAAATTTTCGCCCGAGGGCAATTTAGAAATTTCGCCCTGTAGGACTGGGACTAGCGATACAAAATGCGCCCCTCGGTGATTTGAGTTACCAATGACCTATTTAACCCGATTCAGTAGCAAAAAACTCTATACATCGAAGTGCACACTCAACCCCTCCCTGCTACTGGAGTAGATAATTAATTATGTAATTAATTATAATTTATGTACCTGGTGGTTGTAAGGAAAGTTGAGGTGTCCGTATAGTCGTGTTGAGTATGTACTTACTTGGTGGTTGTAAGGAAAATTGAGGTGTCCGTATAGTCGTGTTGAGTATGTACTTACTTGGTGGTTGTAAGGAAAGTTGAGGTGTCCGTATAGTCGTGTTGAGTATGTACTTACTTGGTGGTTGTAAGGAAAGTTGAGGTGTCCGTATAGTCGTGTTGAGTATGTACTTACTTGGTGGTTGTAAGGAAAGTTGAGGTGTCCGTATAGTCGTGTTGAGTATATACTTACTTGGTGGTTGTAAGGAAAGTTGAGGTGTCCGTATAGTCGTGTTGAGTATGTACTTACTTGGTGGTTGTAAGGAAAGTTGAGGTGTCCGTATAGTCGTGTTGAGTATGTACTTACTTGGTGGTTGTAAGGAAAGTTGATGTGTCCGTATAGTCGTGTTGAGTATGGAGAGGGTCTAATCGGGCGCTTCATTCTCCGCCTCCTTCTGAGAAAGTCGGTCAAAAATATGATTTAGGTTTCCGGATGAAGTGTATATTGTATAACTGTATACTCTGCTACTAAGTCACTAAAGTCATAAAATTGCGTTAAACCAGGGTACCAGATCTATTTTTTTATAAACGTTGAGATAAAATGTTTGGCTGTAAAATTGGGCGATCGTTTAGAATCGGGGTGCAACACTGTTAACAGGGCGCCCAATCAGCTTAATCGGGTGCCTAGTCAGCCTAAATCCCAAAACGATAACTGAACCCAGGTCATATTACAACTGCACCGGTTAGGCTCAGATCTCGCGCCTTTGTTTTTGGAACGCACGTACGTACGTTAGCCCGGGACGTGTTCAAGACAAAAATGTCTATAAAAACATATCTTTATATTTAACTAAAATGCCCGTGGTTGCATTATTACTCAATCTTAGAGAGTCAGTTTTTATCGTATCAAGAAATATCCATCCCGACCTCAGATACAGCCAATCAAATGTAGCAATGACTAAACACTACGTAATGACAACAAAACTGATGATAATGTTATTCCAGTAATGTTTACACGTGCACGTTACTTTAGTAGCAGGGCATAGTGCAACACCGTTATTATCCAACTTTTAATTTTCACCAAAAATTAAAAGTGGGAGGTAGCTTAAATGTGAAAACCTGTTTGATTGTCAAGTGATCCCTAGATTTCTAGTGACATTTGGGTTCAGTTGACGTTTCAAAGTTAACTAGGTAGACTGATTGGGTTTATAATTATTTTCTTGGAAAAGTCAATATTTTGCTAAGTTGTCTTCTGTAGCATCATCCTAGTTCTGCTGCAGCTGCACAACTGTTGACTAACATAAATAAAAATATAATTGATTGGATCCTAGTCCCACCTGTAATTTCCCTTCTCAAACATATCATCACAACTCTGATCCAGGGTCCAGTAGTTCCCCTTCCTCTCTCCTCCTTCCCGAGGAATCTTCACGAAACACTCGTTCAGCGACAGATTATGGCGGATACTGTTCTGCCAACCTGGTAAATTATAGTTTTATTGGGATCATTATACCTGGAACCTGGTAGACTACAGTTTTATTGGGGGGGGGGGGGGGGGGGGAACCATATTAAACTTTAATATACTTTAATATACCTATATTATCTCCATTCAAAATTTTGAACCATATTAAAGTATATTAAAGTGTAGGTTCTGGTAAAACTGGTAAATTACAGTTTTATTGTTATCATTTTACCGGGAACCTGGTAGATTATAGTTTTATTGTTATCGTAATACCGGGAACCTGGTAAATTACAGTTTTATTGTTATCGTGATACCGGGAACCTGGTAGATTACAGTTTTATTGTGGTCATGATACCGGGAACCTGGTAGATTACAGTTTTATTGTGGTCATGATACCGGGAACCTGGTAAATTGTAGTTTTATTGTTATCGTAATACCGGGAACCTGGTAAATTACAGTTTTATTGTTATCGTAATACCGGGAACCTGGTAAATTGTAGTTTTATTGTTATCATGATACCGGGAACCTGGTAAATTGTAGTTTTATCCCTTTTATTGTTATCATGATACCGGGAACCTGGTAGATTACAGTTTTATTGTAATCATGATACCGGGAACCTGGTAAATTGTAGTTTTATTGTTATCGTAATACCGGGAACCTGGTAGATTACAGTTTTATTGTGATCATGATACCGGGAACCTGGTAAATTACAGTTTTATTGTTATCATGATACCGGGAACCTGGTAAATTGTAGTTTTATTGTTATCGTAATACCGGGAACCTGGTAAATTACAGTTTTATTGTTATCGTAATACCGGGAACCTGGTAAATTGTAGTTTTATTGTTATCATGATACCGGGAACCTGGTAAATTGTAGTTTTATCCCTTTTATTGTTATCATGATACCGGGAACCTGGTAAATTACAGTTTTATTGTAATCATGATACCGGGAACCTGGTAAATTGTAGTTTTATTGTTATCGTAATACCGGGAACCTGGTAGATTACAGTTTTATTGTGATCATGATACCGGGAACCTGGTAGATTACAGTTTTATTGTTATCGTAATACCGGGAACCTGGTAGATTACAGTTTTATTGTTATCGTGATACCGGGAACCTGGTAGATTACAGTTTTATTGTTATCATGATACCGGGAACCTGGTAAATTGTAGTTTTATTGTTATCGTAATACCGGGAACCTGGTAAATTGTAGTTTTATTGTTATCGTAATACCGGGAACCTGGTAGATTATTGTTTACTCACTCCCAATAAGCAGGGGAAGGGAAATTAAAAAACTCGAATCTCGTAATTTACCAGAGATAAATGTGTCAGAATTATTGGCGTGTTTGAAATTTTATGTGTATTTTATGATGAAATCAATATTTTTCAACGGGTCATAACTTTACTTCTGAATATCGAAATTACAAAATCCAAAAACTGGTCTGTAGACAATCGTTTGAAATTTTTCTTAACTTCAGAATTTTGTGTTGATGTACCTCAAAACCCATAATTTGGGCTGTTATTTAAAGGGTCGATTCCATACTTTGTTAGATTTACGAAGGAGTAAGGGATTTATGTGTAATTACGTGTATAACATCCCGTTTACAATAACTTACCTTTCTTATTCTTGTTGTAGTAAGGGAACTTGTCGATAATGTACTGATAAATCTGACTTAACGTTAGCTTCTTCTCTGGAGAGTCCCTTATAGCCATTGCTATCATAGCAACGTAACTGTAGGGCGGCTTTACATCCGTATTATCAGTCCCTGCTGTGCTCACTTCGCTCTGAGGTAAACAAGTAGTGACGTCATTAAACAAGTAGTGACGTCATTAAACAAGTAGTGACGTCATTAAACAAGTAGTGACGTCATTAAACAAGTAGTGACGTCATTAAACAAGTAGTTACGTCATTAAACAAGTAGTGACGTCATTAAACAAGTAGTGACGTCATTAAACAAGTAGTGACGTCATTAAACAAGTAGTGACGTCATTAAACAAGTAGTGACGTCATTAAACAAGTAGTGACGTCATTAAACAAGTAGTGACGTCATTAAACAAGTAGTGACGTCATTAAACAAGTAGTGACGTCATTAAACAAGTAGTGACGTCATTAAACAAGTAATGACGTCATTAAACAAGTAGTGAGGTCATTAAACAAGTAGTGACGTCATTAAACAAGTAGTGACGTCATTGAACAAGTAACACATCACACCATTTAATGTCACCCATACACTTGGAGTCGGTCTTCAGTTAGTAAAGGAATAGGAATACAAGGAATACAAGGAATACAAATTTAAAATCTTAAGTTACAACAATGACCTGTGACTGTTAAGATAATAACAATAAGATTTAGATTTTCATTTAGATTTAATATTAATATAATTTACAAAAAAAGAAAGATTTTGAAAATGATCATTTTGTTTTAACAGTCCCCTTATTGAATGTTGATGCTTGTGCCAGGCCACTTTGCGCTCGTTGTTGCGCGAGTAGACTCGATAAAAACTTATGTGAAAGCAAATACAAAATAAATTGGTACGAGATATAGGTAGGTACATAGGTAGGTATAGGAGATAGCGCTGCTACAGCAAATGACTCCGTTCAATTGTAGTGATGGTAAATTTATTGTTGATTAAGAAGAACTTACTTGTGAGGAGGCAAGAGGGATAACGTTACTGTCATACTGCATATCACATGTCCCGTATCTTGCTGAAATAATGTTACTGTCATACTGCATATCACATGTCCCGTATCTTGCTGAAATAATGTTACTGTCATACTGCATATCACATGTCCCGTATCTTGCTGAAATAATGTTACTGTCATACTGCATATCACATGTCCCGTATCTTGCTGAAATAACGTTACTGTCATACTGCAAATCACATGTTCCGTATCTTGCTGAAATAATGTTACTGTCATACTGCATATCACATGTCCCGTATCTTGCTGAAATAATGTTACTGTCATACTGCATATCACATGTCCCGTATCTTGCTGAAATAATGTTACTGTCATACTGCATATCACATGTCCCGTATCTTGCTGAAATAATGTTACTGTCATACTGCATATCACATGTCCCGTATCTTGCTGAAATAATGTTACTGTCATACTGCATATCACATGTCCCGTATCTTGCTGAAATAATGTTACTGTCATACTGCATATTACATGTCCCGTATCTTGCTGAAATAATGTTACTGTCATACTGCATATCACATGTCCCGTATCTTGCTGAAATAAGGCCACTGTCATACTGCATATCACATGTCCCGTATCTTGCTGAAATAATGTTACTGTCATACTGCATATCACATGTCCCGTATCTTGCTGAAATAATGTTACTGTCATACTGCATATCACATGTCCCGTATCTTGCTGAAATAATGTTACTGTCATACTGCATATCACATGTCCCGTATCTTGCTGAAATAATTTTACTGTCATACTGCATATCACATGTCCCGTATCTTGCTGAAATAATGTTACTGTCATACTGCATATCACATGTCCCGTATCTTGCTAAAATAATGTTACTGTCATACTGCATATCACATGTCCCGTATCTTGCTAAAATAATGTTACTGTCATACTGCATATCACATGTCCCGTATCTTGCTGAAATAATGTTACTGTCATACTGCATATCACATGTCCCGTATCTTGCTGAAATATTGTTACTGTCATACTGCATATCACATGTCCCGTATCTTGCTGAAATAATGTTACTGTCATACTGCATATCACATGTCCCGTATCTTGCTGAAATAATGTTACTGTCATACTGCATATCACATGTCCCGTATCTTGCTGAAATAATGTTACTGTCATACTGCAAATCACATGTCCCGTATCTTGCTGAAATAATGTTACTGTCATACTGCATATCACATGTCCCGTATCTTGCTGAAATAAGGCCACTGTCATACTGCATATCACATGTCCCGTATCTTGCTGAAATAATGTTACTGTCATACTGCATATCACATGTCCCGTATCTTGCTGAAATAATGTTACTGTCATACTGCATATCACATGTCCCGTATCTTGCTGAAATATTGTTACTGTCATACTGCATATCACATGTCCCGTATCTTGCTGAAATATTGTTACTGTCATACTGCATATCACATGTCCCGTATCTTGCTGAAATATTGTTACTGTCATACTGCATATCACATGTCCCGTATCTTGCTGAAATAATGTTACTGTCATACTGCATATCACATGTCCCGTATCTTGCTGAAATAATGTTACTGTCATACTGCATATCACATGTCCCGTATCTTGCTGAAATAATGTTACTGTCATACTGCATATCACATGTCCCGTATCTTGCTGAAATAATGTTACTGTCATACTGCATATCACATGTCCCGTATCTTGCTGAAATAATGTTACTGTCATACTGCATATCACATGTCCCGTATCTTGCTGAAATAATGTTACTGTCATACTGCATATCACATGTCCCGTATCTTGCTGAAATAATGTTACTGTCATACTGCATATCACATGTCCCGTATCTTGCTGAAATAATGTTACTGTCATACTGCATATCACATGTCCCGTATCTTGCTGAAATAATGTTACTGTCATACTGCATATCACATGTCCCGTATCTTGCTGAAATAATGTTACTGTCATACTGCATATCACATGTCCCGTATCTTGCTGAAATAATGTTACTGTCATACTGCATATCACATGTCCCGTATCTTGCTGAAATAATGTTACTGTCATACTGCATATCACATGTCCGTATCTTGCTGAAATAATGTTACTGTCATACTGCATATCACATGTCCCGTATCTTGCTGAAATAATGTTACTGTCATACTGCATATCACATGTCCCGTATCTTGCTGAAATAATGTTACTGTCATACTGCATATCACATGTCCCGTATCTTGCTGAAATAATGTTACTGTCATACTGCATATCACATGTCCCGTATCTTGCTGAAATAATGTTACTGTCATACTGCATATCACATGTCCCGTATCTTGCTGAAATAATGTTACTGTCATACTGCATATCACATGTCCCGTATCTTGCTGAAATAATGTTACTGTCATACTGCATATCACATGTCCCGTATCTTGCTGAAATAATGTTACTGTCATACTGCATATCACATGTCCCGTATCTTGCTGAAATAATGTTACTGTCATACTGCATATCACATGTCCCGTATCTTGCTGAAATAATGTTACTGTCATACTGCATATCACATGTCCCGTATCTTGCTGAAATAACGTTACTGTCATACTGCATATCACATGTCCCGTATCTTGCTGAAATAATGTTACTGTCATACTGCATATCACATGTCCCGTATCTTGCTGAAATAATGTTACTGTCATACTGCATATCACATGTCCCGTATCTTGCTGAAATAATGTTACTGTCATACTGCATATCACATGTCCCGTATCTTGCTGAAATAATGTTACTGTCATACTGCATATCACATGTCCCGTATCTTGCTGAAATAATGTTACTGTCATACTGCATATCACATGTCCCGTATCTTGCTGAAATAATGTTACTGTCATACTGCATATCACATGTCCGTATCTTGCTGAAATAATGTTACTGTCATACTGCATATCACATGTCCCGTATCTTGCTGAAATAATGTTACTGTCATACTGCATATCACATGTCCCGTATCTTGCTGAAATAATGTTACTGTCATACTGCATATCACATGTCCCGTATCTTGCTGAAATAATGTTACTGTCATACTGCATATCACATGTCCCGTATCTTGCTGAAATAATGTTACTGTCATACTGCATATCACATGTCCCGTATCTTGCTGAAATAATGTTACTGTCATACTGCATATCACATGTCCCGTATCTTGCTGAAATAATGTTACTGTCATACTGCATATCACATGTCCCGTATCTTGCTGAAATAATGTTACTGTCATACTGCATATCACATGTCCCGTATCTTGCTGAAATAATGTTACTGTCATACTGCATATCACATGTCCCGTATCTTGCTGAAATAATGTTACTGTCATACTGCATATCACATGTCCCGTATCTTGCTGAAATAATGTTACTGTCATACTGCATATCACATGTCCCGTATCTTGCTGAAATAATGTTACTGTCATACTGCATATCACATGTCCCGTATCTTGCTGAAATAATGTTACTGTCATACTGCATATCACATGTCCCGTATCTTGCTGAAATAATGTTACTGTCATACTGCATATCACATGTCCCGTATCTTGCTGAAATAATGTTACTGTCATACTGCATATCACATGTCCCGTATCTTGCTGAAATAATGTTACTGTCATACTGCATATCACATGTCCCGTATCTTGCTGAAATAATGTTACTGTCATACTGCATATCACATGTCCCGTATCTTGCTGAAATAATGTTACTGTCATACTGCATATCACATGTCCCGTATCTTGCTGAAATAATGTTACTGTCATACTGCATATCACATGTCCCGTATCTTGCTGAAATAATGTTACTGTCATACTGCATATCACATGTCCCGTATCTTGCTGAAATAATGTTACTGTCATACTGCATATCACATGTCCCGTATCTTGCTGAAATAATGTTACTGTCATACTGCATATCACATGTCCCGTATCTTGCTGAAATAATGTTACTGTCATACTGCATATCACATGTCCCGTATCTTGCTGAAATAATGTTACTGTCATACTGCATATCACATGTCCCGTATCTTGCTGAAATAATGTTACTGTCATACTGCATATCACATGTCCCGTATCTTGCTGAAATAATGTTACTGTCATACTGCATATCACATGTCCCGTATCTTGCTGAAATAATGTTACTGTCATACTGCATATCACATGTCCCGTATCTTGCTGAAATAACGTTACTGTCATACTGCATATCACATGTCCCGTATCTTGCTGAAATAATGTTACTGTCATACTGCATATCACATGTCCTGTATCTTGCTGAAATAATGTTACTGTCATACTGCATATCACATGTCCGTATCTTGCTGAAATAATGTTACTGTCATACTGCATATCACATGTCCCGTATCTTGCTGAAATAATGTTACTGTCATACTGCATATCACATGTCCCGTATCTTGCTGAAATAATGTTACTGTCATACTGCATATCACATGTCCCGTATCTTGCTGAAATAATGTTACTGTCATACTGCATATCACATGTCCCGTATCTTGCTGAAATAATGTTACTGTCATACTGCATATCACATGTCCCGTATCTTGCTGAAATAAGGTTACTGTCATACTGCATATCACATGTCCCGTATCTTGCTGAAATAACGTTACTGTCATACTGCATATCACATGTCCCGTATCTTGCTGAAATAATGTTACTGTCATACTGCATATCACATGTCCCTGTATCTTGCTGAAATAATGTTACTGTCATACTGCATATCACATGTCCCGTATCTTGCTGAAATAATGTTACTGTCATACTGCATATCACATGTCCCGTATCTTGCTGAAATAATGTTACTGTCATACTGCATATCACATGTCCCGTATCTTGCTGAAATAATGTTACTGTCATACTGCATATCACATGTCCCGTATCTTGCTGAAATAATGTTACTGTCATACTGCATATCACATGTCCCGTATCTTGCTGAAATAATGTTACTGTCATACTGCATATCACATGTCCCGTATCTTGCTGAAATAATGTTACTGTCATACTGCATATCACATGTCCCGTATCTTGCTGAAATAATGTTACTGTCATACTGCATATCACATGTCCCGTATCTTGCTGAAATAATGTTACTGTCATACTGCATATCACATGTCCCGTATCTTGCTGAAATAATGTTACTGTCATACTGCATATCACATGTCCCGTATCTTGCTGAAATAATGTTACTGTCATACTGCATATCACATGTCCCGTATCTTGCTGAAATAATGTTACTGTCATACTGCATATCACATGTCCCGTATCTTGCTGAAATAATGTTACTGTCATACTGCATATCACATGTCCCGTATCTTGCTGAAATAATGTTACTGTCATACTGCATATCACATGTCCCGTATCTTGCTGAAATAATGTTACTGTCATACTGCATATCACATGTCCCGTATCTTGCTGAAATAATGTTACTGTCATACTGCATATCACATGTCCCTGTATCTTGCTGAAATAATGTTACTGTCATACTGCATATCACATGTCCCGTATCTTGCTGAAATAATTTTACTGTCATACTGCATATCACATGTCCCGTATCTTGCTGAAATAAGGTTACTGTCATACTGCATATCACATGTCCCGTATCTTGCTGAAATAATGTTACTGTCATACTGCATATCACATGTCCCGTATCTTGCTGAAATAATGTTACTGTCATACTGCATATCACATGTCCCGTATCTTGCTGAAATAAGGTTACTGTCATACTGCATATCACATGTCCCGTATCTTGCTGAAATAATTTTACTGTCATACTGCATATCACATGTCCCGTATCTTGCTGAAATAATGTTACTGTCATACTGCATATCACATGTCCCGTATCTTGCTGAAATAATGTTACTGTCATACTGCATATCACATGTCCCGTATCTTGCTGAAATAATGTTACTGTCATACTCCATATCACATGTCCCGTATCTTGCTGAAATAATGTTACTGTCATACTGCATATCACATGTCCCGTATCTTGCTGAAATAATGTTACTGTCATACTGCATATCACATGTCCCGTATCTTGCTGAAATAATGTTACTGTCATACTGCATATCACATGTCCCGTATCTTGCTGAAATAATGTTACTGTCATACTGCATATCACATGTCCCGTATCTTGCTGAAATAATGTTACTGTCATACTGCATATCACATGTCCCGTATCTTGCTGAAATAATGTTACTGTCATACTGCATATCACATGTCCTGTATCTTGCTGAAATAATGTTACTGTCATACTGCATATCACATGTCCCGTATCTTGCTGAAATAATGTTACTGTCATACTGCATATCACATGTCCCGTATCTTGCTGAAATAATGTTACTGTCATACTGCATATCACATGTCCTGTATCTTGCTGAAATAATGTTACTGTCATACTGCATATCACATGTCCCGTATCTTGCTGAAATAATTTTACTGTCATACTGCATATCACATGTCCCGTATCTTGCTGAAATAAGGTTACTGTCATACTGCATATCACATGTCCCGTATCTTGCTGAAATAAGGTTACTGTCATACTGCATATCACATGTCCCGTATCTTGCTGAAATAATTTTACTGTCATACTGCATATCACATGTCCCGTATCTTGCTGAAATAAGGTTACTGTCATACTGCATATCACATGTCCCGTATCTTGCTGAAATAATTTTACTGTCATACTGCATATCACATGTCCCGTATCTTGCTGAAATAATGTTACTGTCATACTGCATATCACATGTCCCGTATCTTGCTGAAATAATGTTACTGTCATACTGCATATCACATGTCCCGTATCTTGCTGAAATAATGTTACTGTCATACTCCATATCACATGTCCCGTATCTTGCTGAAATAATGTTACTGTCATACTGCATATCACATGTCCCGTATCTTGCTGAAATAATGTTACTGTCATACTGCATATCACATGTCCCGTATCTTGCTGAAATAATGTTACTGTCATACTGCATATCACATGTCCCGTATCTTGCTGAAATAATGTTACTGTCATACTGCATATCACATGTCCGTATCTTGCTGAAATAATGTTACTGTCATACTGCATATCACATGTCCCGTATCTTGCTGAAATAATGTTACTGTCATACTGGATATCACATGTCCCGTATCTTGCTGAAATAATGTTACTGTCATACTGCATTATGCATATCACATGTCCCGTATCTTGCTGAAATAATGTTACATATACTAATTCAAACACAAGGAAATGTTTTAAAAGGAACAATTTTGAAATCGTTGAAATTACCCCCTTATTAATGAATAATGAAGTTTTTACATTTCGACTTTGTCAAGGACCCTGATATTAACCAAAAAGAAATTATATTTTACCAAAACCCATATTTAGGTAGAGTGGAACGTTGCAGTGTCTCACTTTCTCAAACAAAAGGAAATGATATCAATTGGAATAACCGTTCTCAAATGCAAAATGATTCCGAGAATGAAATCGGTCGCTCGCTTTTCCCATTCTATTCATTTACAATTGTGATAAATTAAGCAGCACAACCCAGAGGCAGTACTCGGAAATAAAGATTCGATAAACCTCAGCTAATTGGACACTAACTAGTTATTACCGCCTTTATCCCAATTAGTACTAGGTATCGGCCTAAAAGCAACCCTAGGCCTAAGGGGTTTCTAGAGAGTGTCATCGATGTAATAAACGGAAACCCAAAGTTAAACTGATTAAAATTCGTAAGCCATGAAGAAATGGGAAAAGCGAGCGACCCATTTCATTCTCGGTATCATTTTGCATTTTAGAACGGTTATTCCAATTGATATCATCTCCTTTTGTTTGGGAAAGGGAGACAGACCCAATTATGGGTTTTGGTAAAATCTGAAATAACATTTTCACTTTCATTCAGATATTTATTTTGATTTTAAGGATGAAAATCAACCGTGGTTTTAAGGATGAAAATTTGTAAATTACAACTGAAAATCAACGATTAGCTCCACTTAAACTTTTGAATAATGTATTAAGTATAATTTTAAATGTAAATCTGGTAATTAATAACTCACTTCCGTTAGAGGTAATAACACAGCTTGATAGATCATCTTGAGTATGAGACGCTTCTGAAATGAAAACTTTTATAATGGGAACAAACAAGATTACTGTTGTCATAGCAACAAATATTTGTACTGTTGTCATACAGCAAACAAGATTACTGTTGTCATAGCAACAAATATTTGTACTGTTGTAATATATCAAACAAGATTACCGTTGTCATAGCAACAAATATTTGTACTGTTGTCATATATAGAAACATGATGACTGTTGTCATAGCGATAAACAAGTTGATCATTATCAAAGTAAAAAACAAGATTACTGTAAAATATTGTCATGGAAACAAACAGAATTGCTGTTGTCATGGAAACAAACAGAATTGCTGTTGTCATGGAAACAAACAGAATTGCTGTTGTCATGGAAACAAACAGAATTGCTGTTGTCATGGAAACAAACAGGATTGCTGTTGTCATGGAAACAAACAGAATTGCTGTTGTCATGGAAACAAACAGGATTGCTGTTGTCATGGAAACAAACAGGATTGCTGTTGTCATGGAAACAAACAGAATTGCTGTTGTCATGGAAACAAACAGGATTGCTGTTGTCATGGAAACAAACAGGATTGCTGTTGTCATGGAAACAAACAGGATTGCTGTTGTCATGGAAACAAACAGGATTGCTGTTGTCATGGAAACAAACAGGATTGCTGTTGTCATGGAAACAAACAGGATTGCTGTTGTCACAGTAAGGGTGTGCAGTGTGGGTGTGCAGTAAGGGTGTGCAGTGTGGGTGTGCAGTAGGAGTGTGCAGTGTGCACGTTATTAAACCGCAGCTTAGTTTACCGAGCGAACTTTGTTTTCTAAACAACGTGTAAATAGCTCTGACAATGTTTACAAAATAAACTTGTTTGCTTTTCTTTATGAGACCTTAATTCAAACAAACAGATATGTAGACTCTATAATTTAAGTTCGTGAATCCGTACGTTTCCATTCTGACTTTCATCTCTAATTTGCAGTGGTCTTTGGTCTCGTCCGCACTTAGTGATATATTGCGACGATTGTCACCATTTTAGTTCGTTGGTTGAGGCTTGAGCCACAGTCGTGGGAGGGAGGGAGGGAGGGAGGGAGGGAGGGAGGGAGGGAGGGAGGGACGGAGGGAGGGAGGGAGGGAGGGAGGGAGGGAGGGAGGGAGGGAGGGAGGGAGGGAGGGAGGGAGGGAGGGAGGGAGGGAGGGAGGGAGGGAGGGAGGGAGGGAGGGAGGGAGGGAGGGAGGGAGGGAGGGAGGGAGGGAGGGAGGGAGGGACGGAGGGAGGGAGGGAGGGAGGGAGGGAGGGAGGGAGGGAGGGAGGGAGGGAGGGAGGGAGGGAGGAAGGGGTGGAGGGAGGGAGGGAGGGAGGGAGGGAGGGAGGGAGGGAGGGAGGGAGGGAGGGAGGGAGGGAGGGAGGGAGGGAGGGAGGGAGGGAGGGAGGGAGGGAGGGAGGGAGGGGGAGGGAGGGAGGGAGGGAGGGAGGGAGGGAGGGAGGGAGGGAGGGAGGGAGGGACGGAGGGAGGGACGGAGGGAGGGAGGGACGGAGGGAGGGAGGGAGGGAGGGAGGGAGGGAGGGGGGGAGGGAGGGAGGGAGGGAGGGACGGAGGGAGGGACGGAGGGAGGGAGGGAGGGAGGGAGGGAGGGAGGGGGGAGGGGGGAGGGAGGAAGGGGTGGAGGGAGGGAGGGAGGGAGGGAGGAGGGGAGGGAGGGAGGGAGGGAGGGAGGGAGGGAGGGAGGGAGGGAGGGAGGGAGGGAGGGAGGGAAGGGGTGGAGGGAGGAAGGGGTGGAGGGAGGGAGGGAGGGAGGGAGGGAGGGAGAGGGAGGGAGAGGAGGGAGAGGGAGGGAGGGAGGGAGGGACGGAGGGAGGGAGGGAGGGAGGGAGGGACGGAGGGAGGGACGGAGGGAGGGACGGAGGGAGGGAGGGAGGGAGGGAGGGAGGGGGGGAGGGAGGGAGGGAGGGAGGGAGGGACGGAGGGAGGGACGGAGGGAGGGAGGGAGGGAGGGAGGGGGGAGGGAGGAAGGGGTGGAGGGAGGGAGGGAGGGAGGAGGGAGGGAGGGAGGGAGGGAGGGAGGTAGGGAGGGAGGGAGGGAGGGGGGAGGGAGGGAGGGAGGGAGGGAGGGAGGGAGGGAGGGAGGGAGGGAGGAAGGGGTGGAGGGAGGAAGGGGTGGAGGGAGGGAGGGAGGGAGGGAGGGAGGGAGGGAGAGGGAGGGAGAGGGAGGGAGAGGGAGGGAGGGAGGGAGGGAGGGAGGGAGGGAGGGAGGGAGGGAGGGAGGGAGGGAGGGAGGGAGGGAGAAGTTGCAGTGTAAGTGAGCTATTTGAATATATTCCAACAAATGATAGAGAATGCTGGTAACGTGCCACATTTATTGAGGTAGTATGCTATATCATATGCTTTATGTTTAGAAAAAGGTGGCAGTATAAAATTTAAAATGTGCAAATTTACAACTTTGAGTGATCCAGTATTCCAGCAATAATGATATAATTGCATGGAATTTAAACACGCATTCCGACACTAAAACTTAGTAACAAGTACACTAAGTCGGCTCGATCAATGAACAGCTCCTCGTGTGACTGCCCACGTGCCCTTCCTCTAGAATTTGCATATCACGTGATTCGTCTAAAGGATCACGGGGTGTACTCGTGGTTATCAGGTGACCGCTCGTTAATGAACTATCCGATGAGTTTATTTATTGCTTGGATATAGTTTAAATCTCTGCTTGAATAAAGCTTGTCAAAAACAAATTATGAATACACAGTATTACTAAAATGGGGGGGGGGGCCGCTTTTTTTTTTTTTAAGTCAGTGAGTTAACATGAATAGTTTTAAATAGTGGGGAGATGTTTAGAGCGGACTGAAGGAAATGTTGTTAATATTATACTAATATTCAGTTAAAATTCTGCCATAGAGATAAGGAAATAATAATCGCTACATTCTCAATTCATGACGTCATAACTCACTACAGTTGACTCCTAAGATCACTTAAATTATCTTTTGATCTTATGTAAGCAGGAGCCAGTGTCTCATACGTTAACTTCATTTAAAAACATGTTGTTATTGTTGAACATGTCCATATCTTCTCACAGCACCCTGTACCCTGCTATACCCTCACCCACCAGTAACTTAACCATGAGAATTTCTCAGCTCTGTTTTAAACTTAAAGTGGCAACAAATTAAACAGTAATAGCTCCCACGTGGCTTACTTTTACAGCGGGGACACGAGCACAGGGGCTCAGCATCAAATACAATTAAATTACCAGTAATATTTACAGGGTGAAGGAGCATTCATCATTATATCAGTAACACACTGCAACTAGTACAGTCAACAGGAGCAAATAACTAATCAATCAGTAAACTGCTGATAATATAATAATAGGCAGAACTAAAACTGCTGATCACTCTAATATTAGTTAACAAAACTGCTGATCCTATAATAATTAGTATAGTAAACTAAACTGCTGATACTATAATATTAGTAAACTAAACTGCTGATACTATAATATCAGTAAACTAAACTGCTGATACTAAAATATTAGTAAACTAAACTGCTGATACTATAATATCAGCAAACTAAACTGCTGATACTATAATATTAGTAAACTAAACTGCTGATACTATAATATCAGCAAACTAACTGCTGATACTATAATATTAGTAAACTAAACTGCTGATACTATAATATTAGTAAACTAAACTGCTGATACTATAATATTAGTAAACTAAACTGCTGATACTATAATATCAGTAAAACTAAACTTGTGATACTAAAAAGTTTAGTAAACTAACACTGCTGATTACTATATATCAGCAAACTAAACTGCTGATACTATAATATAGTAACTAAATGCTGATACCTATAATATCAGCAACTAACAGCTGTACTTATAAGATTAGTTAAACTAACTGCTGATACTATAATATTAGTAAACTAAACTGCTGATACTATAATATTAGTAAACTAAACTGCTGATACTATAATATTAGCAAACTAAACTGCTGATACTATAATATTAGTAAACTAAACTGCTGATACTATAATATCAGCAAACTAAACTGCTGATACTAAAATATTAGTAAACTAAACTGCTGATACTATAATATTAGTAAACTAAACTGCTGATACTATAGTATTAGTAAACTAAACTGCTGATACTAAATATCAGCAAACTAAACTGCTGATACTATAATATCAGCAAACTAAACTGCTGATACTATAATATTAGTAAACTAAACTGCTGATACTATAATATTTAGTAATCTAAAACTTTGGATACCTATATATCAGCAAACTAATGTGATACTAAAATATTAGTAAAACTAAACTGCTGATGACTATAATATTAGTAAACTAAATGCTGCTTACTATAATATCAGCAAACTAAACTGCTGATACTAATTATTCGTAACTAAACTGCTGTACTATAATATTGTAAAACTAACTGCTGGATACTATAATATTAGTAAACTAAACTGCTGATACTATAATATTAGTAAACAAAACTCTGTACTATAATAATTAGTTAAAACTAAAAACTGCTGATACTATAAAAATTAGCAACTAAACTGCTGTACTATAATATTAGTAAACTAAAACTGTTTGAGAATAAAATATTAGTAAACTAAAACTGCTGATACTAAAAATTTTAGTAAACTAAACTGCTGATACTATAATACCAGCAAACTAAACTGTTGGTTGCTGATACTGTAAAATCATCGCTTTAAGAATTATTTTATCACTCTGATAAGTTGGAAGATTGTCACTTTATACTAGTAGTGGGTATAGACTATATAGTGGTATATAGTGGTATATATGGTATATATAGTGGTATATAGTGGTATATAGTGGTATATAGTGGTATTTATAGTGGTATATGGTATATAGTGGTATATAGTGGTATATAGTGGTATATAGTGGTATATATAGTGGTATATGGTATATGGTGGTATATAGTGGTATATAGTGGTATATGGTGGTATATATAGTGGTATATGGTATATAGTGGTATATGGTGGTATATAGTGGTATATGGTGGTGTAT